GAGCAAGACTGCGTCTCAAAAAAAAAAGTTCCAAGATCAGGACTAGGCCTCCCCTCAGAAGCAGCAAGTGACATATGTGACATCCTCTCCATTCCCTATTTGCATTTCTAGGTTACATAACTGTACTATTATCCATTCATGCCTACTTCTGTTCCCAGGGTGAAGGACCCAGACATGGAGAGTCGAATCCCTGCAGGCCATTGTAAATGAGATTATGCCATTTGCTCCCATTTCTTCTTACTCCTTGATCTTTGGGGCTCTCCATCTTGATGTGTTCTTTGGATCATGAACAGATCCAAAGAAAAGGTTGTTCTGCTGTGCTGTGTGTCAGGATGAAAAACTCTTTAAGTGTGTAGGTCTGTCCCCAGTGCCCAGCCCAATCAAGTAACATGGTCGCCCAGAGTGGCAGAGAGGAGGACAAGGCCTGGGAAAGCACTGGAGAAATGAGATTTGTTTAAACTATGACAGCGTTATTTCTTGTTCCCTTGTCCTGTCTTTTTCCTGCAAGCAGGAAGGGAACCTGATTGGATTACCCCTTCTGATTGACAACTATGTGCCCCCTTTGGAGGGACTGCCTATCTTCATTCTTCGACTAGCCACTGAGGTCAGTGATCAAGCAGATACTAAGCATTTCGGTACGTGCATGTGTGCTGGAGGGAAAGGGCACATGACCACCCTTTGATATGGAATGATAAAGATGATAAGGGTGGGACAGCTAAAGGCCTGCTCTCATCCTCACTAATATTCATCCCCAGCAATATTCAGCAGTCTCATTTATAGTTTTAATGCCTAAAATGTCATATTTAGTTTTTTAGCTTTAAGTAGTCTGTGATCTCCATTTAGAATGAAAATGTTTAAATTCATACCTATTTTGAGGTATTGAATTCTTTGGACCAGGTGAATTGGGATGAAGAAAAGGAATGTTTTGAAAGCCTCAGTAAAGAATGTGCTATGTTCTACTCCATCCGGAAGCAGTACATATCTGAGGAGTCGACCCTCTCAGGCCAGCAGGTACGTTGGTGATGCACATTGGCACCCAAGGACTAGGACAGGCCCTCATACAATCTTTAGGAAATGAAACTTGCCCATCTCTAAAATTTTGGGATTTCTTTATACCCAACAAGGTTCAAACACAATAGTCAGCTTTTATTCATGAGTTTTACTTCCATCTGCTGATGTAGAACATACCTCCAGAGTGACCTCAGAAATTGTCTAATGTGAAAGCACAAGCCATCACAGTGAGAAATAGGAGGTTGAGTTAGATTGTCTAAGGCTGGAGAGTCCATATACTCCCACTGTTAGCTCTGAAGTGTGTAGCCAGTCTTCAGATTCTGGGTCAGTCGCCCCTGTGTCTCTTAGCTTTTTGCCTTCTCTATCCAACCACTGCCCTGCCAGGAAAACAAGGCTCTATAATTCCTCTGACAGGTCAACTTGACACAAAATGGGTGCCTGGATTCCTAATGTTCCATTGTCACTTTTCCCAGTCAGATGATAATGCTTTTAAAATCAACATATATTTGGGGGGAGGTTGGAGGGGAGAGTTGAAATATCCTAAGAATCAAAGGGTAGCCCACTTCAATCAGAGTATGACCCCTGATTGCTCACAGTCATCTCCTGAGCAGTGTGAGCCAGTTTCAGATGAGGAGGCCGAAGGCCGCTCGGGCATGCTCAAGGATTCCAAGTCTGTAGGTGGGAGGGCAGAGATTTAGTCCTGTTGGCCAAGCCTCTAGGGAGTTTCTCACTCCAGTGGAGAAGGCAACACACTTACCAAACTCTGTGGAAACTCTCTCATTTGATGTGTGGAAACTATCTCATTTGATTGGAAATTTTACCTCAGGCAAAGGAAGGACAGTTGAGAAAGAACATTTTCTTACAAATGAGACAGCAAAGGCTTACAAGAAGGAGAGGAATAATGAGGCAAAGTAATCCTCATTAATATTTTCATTCCTCCCCTGGGGATTAGAACTATTTTCAGACCCGATTTTCATGGTAAGTTAGGTACTTCCTACGGTTGCCATCCAAATATCAGTCAGGATCAGACATGATGTTAGCTCCTGCTACAATAAAACCATTTTCTCCCTGAATGAAAACAAAAGGTTCCACAGGAGACAGTCCCACAGAGTAGTGGCTTCTTTTCCCCCCTTAAAAACCTCATGTTGGCTGGACACAGTGGCTCACACCTGTAATCTCAGCATTTTAGGAGGCTGAGGTGGGAAGATGGCTTAAGCTCTGGAGTTTGAGGCTGTATTGAGCTATGATCACGCCACTGCCCTCCAGCCTGGGTGACAGAGCAAGACCTTGTCTCTAAATAAACAACAAAAAAATCCTCTTGTGTTCAGGCCTGAGAGGCTGGTGCACAAGATTCACTTCAAAAGCCCTACATAACACCAAGTCTTTCCAGGCTCAGTGCACATCCCATCAGCCAGGACACCAGTATATGTTGGGATGCAAACAGGGAGGCTTATGACATCTAATGTGTTTTCCAGAGTGAAGTGCCTGGCTCCATTCCAAACTCCTGGAAGTGGACTGTGGAACACATTGTTTATAAAGCCTTGCGCTCACACATTCTGCCTCCTAAACATTTCACAGAAGATGGAAATATCCTGCAACTTGCTAACCTGCCTGATCTATACAAAGTCTTTGAGAGGTGTTAAATATGGTCATTTATGCACTGTGGGATGTGTTGTTCTTTCTCTGTATTCTGATACAAAGTGTTGTATCAAAGTGTGGTATACAAAGTGTACCAACGTAAGTGTTGGTAGCACTTAAGACTTACACTTGCCTTCTAGCTGGTAGCATTCCTTTATACACAGTGGATTAATTATAAATAAATAGTCAGCTGTATCCTAACATAATTTCTTATTTAATTTTATTATTTATATATTGTGTCAGTTCAGAGGCCAAAAAGAGCTCTTGAACATGTCGCAGGCTCTGACGGCGCTGACCATGGAGAAGGCTGGATTTGATCATCTAGTGTCTTCAGTAACCAAAGCTAATTATTAAGGAAAAAAACTTGAAGAAAGAAAATAGTCCTTACTTCATCTATAATGAGTTTTTGGTTTTTGGGGTTTTTTCTTTTTTTTTTTTTGAGACTGAGTCTTGCTCTGTTGCCCAGGCTGGAGTGCGGTGGCATGATCTTGGCTCACTGCAACCTCCGCTTCCCAGGTTCAAGCAATTCTCCTGCCTCAGCTTCCCAAGTAGCTGGGATTACAGGCACCTGCCACCATGCCCGGCTAATTTCACTATGCTGGCCAAGCTGGTCTCGAACTCCTGACCTCAGGCGATCCCCCTGCCTTGGCCTCCCAAAGTGCTGAGATTACAGGCATGAGCCACCACGGCCGGCAAAAGTATGAATTTTTAAGTTAGCCCACTTTGTTAATGACTATGAGTACTAATAGCTTAAGATAAAGAAGTTTCTAGGTAATCTTTTTTGAAGGATGATGTAAAAATATAAACTTAAACTGTGAGTGACAAAATAAGCTTCCTTAATAAATATTAGCCTACATTTAGAGAAATGATGCATTCAGCTCGGGAAGGAAGAATGTCTGTGGTTTGAAGGTCAAATCCAGATTCCAAGACTCAGTGAAGACAGTTCAGTGATAAAGAACAGACTACTCTCATCTTATGAAGAAACGGAGCAATTTCACTTGGAAAGACTAGGACGGCAGAATGTTACACACACATTTATTGTGCCACAAAATAGGCAAGGTCAGTTTTGAACAATAAGAACTCCACAAAGTAGACCAGGACATCTCAGAAGTGAGGTTCCATGAGCCCAGGTGGGGCACAGGCTCAGTGACCTTTAGTGGAGAGGAATAGGGGGTTTTCTGAGCTTCAAGAGCTGGGCCACACAGTATGTTGGTTCTAGCTGGGATGGAGTTCTAGAATAAACCTGCACTTTAGAACACCTTTCCACCCACCCCCAGCCACACAACTTGCTATTGAAAAGGTATAGGCTGAGGCACAATGGCTCATGCCTATAATCCCAATACTTTGGGAGGCTGAGGCAGGCAGATCAGTTGTGGTCAGGAGTTCAAGACCAGCCTGGGCAACATGGTGAAACCCTATCTCTAATAAAAATACAAATATTAGCAGGGTGTGGTGGTGGGCACCTGTAATCCCACCTACTTGGGAGGCTGAGGCAGGAGAATCAAGCTTGAACCCGGAAGGGAGAGGTTGCAGTGAGCCAAGATCATGCCACTACACTCCAGCAGGGGTGACAGCACGAGACTCTCTCTCTCAAAAAAAAAGAGGCCAGGCACAGTGGCCCATGCCTGTAATTCCAGCACTTTGGGAGGTCGAGGCAGGCGGATCACTTGAAGTCAGAAGTTCAAGACCAGCCTGGCCAACATGGCAAAACCCCGTCTCTACTAAAAATACAAAAATTAGTCGGGCGTGGTGGTGCACACCTGTAGTCCCAGCTACTCAGGAGGCTGAGGCAGGAGAATCACTTGAACCTGGGAGGCAGAGGTTGCAGTGAGCCGAGATCATGCCACTGCACTCCAGCCTGGGTCACTGAGTGAGAACTCTGTCTCAAAAAAAAAAAAGAAAAAAAAAGAAAATTTATAGAAAATCATCTCAGTTCAGGAGATTGGTATCCATATTTTTTAAATGGCTAATTAAAAAAGAAAGAAATATTAGAGATTTTATTCACTTTTGAATTACCCTTTTAAAGTCTACTTTTATTATCTTATGTGCCTTTAGTCACTAGATTTTCCCCAATATATTTTCTGTGTAAGCATTTTAAAGATACAATAATCATTTCAATAAAACCACCTGGGTACTAAGAGCAAAAGAGAAGCATAAATTCTGCAAAGTAATTGCACTTCATGATTTTAAAAAACCTCTTGGACAGGGTACCTCTAAAGATGAAACTAAAGTCTTTAAAAGTTCTACATTCCAGATTGTTTTTCCTCGAGAAGGAGACAAAAGAAGAGGGATGTGGTTGCCATGATTTGTTTTAAAGTCCCCTGTAACAAAATGAACATGTCAATAGCCAATTGTGGTTGGCAAAAGGGTGTATTTAATAGAATCTGCAGGCAGATTTCCGATCTGCCCACCCTGCCCTACCCTCCCCCTTTGGGTTTGTTTGAGGTTTCATTCCACAAATAAGCAGCAGATAAAATACTTTACAAGGTACAGCACAGTTGTATTGAAGAAAAAAGGACCCAACTCTTAAACTTTAAGAGTATTAGGTCTGGACTTCCCCTGCCCCATGCAATAAAGCGAGTTTTATATACACTCCCCCATATTTTTTTCTAACATTTTCTTATATAAATTTAAATATCTTACAAAAAAAAGGCTTTTTTCCTCCAAACATATAAATTTGAGTGAAACATAGATTCCCCACCCAAGAACTTGTTTCTTCACTAAAATACAAATGTCGTCTGATATTAAGGGTAAATGTCTTTTGACCACTGGAGATCACTGAAGTCTGAATTGCACCGTGGAGAAGGCACTTGTGTTTTCTGAGGTCTCCAGCAAGTATCTCAGTGAGCACTCATAGAATTGCTGTCTGTCCTCCAGAACCCGTGCCAAGGCCTCCGAGTGCCCAGTTACTGAGGCAGCTGGGGAAAAATGTTGAGTAAACATGATTCTACAATTACGGAGATAAAAAATAAAAACAGCATGGACTGGTTCTAGCCTAGAATCAAACTACAACAAAATCCAAAGTGTTCATTCATGAAGATTCAAACTGGCTTCATTCTCTCATAAATTATAAAATACAAAGGTGGCTGTTTTAATGACAAAACTCAAAACAGTACTAAAAGGGGTTTGTGTCAATGGACAAAAGTCAGTCCCTCTAGGTAGGGCCCCAAGGAGCATCACCCAGGTTGAAGGGTGGTTTTCCTACTGCTGGGCCAAAAGTGCTGTCCTGTTGGCCTTCATCTTCTCCAGCCGCTTGGCCAGGTGGCTGTTGGTCATCTCCATCTCCTCAATCTTGTCCAGTGCTGTTCGTAACTGGAGACAGGGAGAAGGCAGTCACTACATGTGGTCAGAAACAACATCCAGTGCTACTCTATTTTCAACTTCCTGGGAAATGAAAGCACTGCGCAGGACCCACAGCCTCATTTTTTCTGTCAGAGGTGTTAAATGATGATACTGAGGATTGTTTGTTTGTTTTAATCACAGAAAGGACATATAGAAGTTGGAGAAATAGACCTGATCTGAAGCAGAAATAAAAACTATCTTTTTACTTATTATCTAATTGACCAAAACATAAAAGTAAATGGCAGTCACTATGCAGGTCAAAAACCAACACAAATTAGTTAAGTGACTCCACTGCTGTTTCCTTAAGTATCACATTTCTTACACAGCTAAGAATTTATTTCCAAAAGATTCTTTCTTTTTAGGAATGTATTCTCCAAGAAGCATATTAAAAGAAGTACCTCTCGTTGTAGCTTCCTTTTTTCTGCTTTCAGTTCATCTTCAACTTTCTCAGCATTCTCAGCAGCAGTTTTATATCTCAGAACCTGTCCCTCAAGCCGGCTAATCTGTAAGTATGAGAACATAGGCCTCTAGTACTAGGCACTAGAAGTCACCACTTTTGGTAGCCAAGATGGAAATACAATGTCATTATAAATGCAAAGTAATCTAACACTAACAAGTCCCCTAAGGGTGAGTCATAAGTCCTCTTAGAACTCAATTGCTATTTATAAAATCAAGAAATGTCCCCAGAGAGGATTACAGCTGTAGAGTCATTTTAGGGCCAATTTCCCATGCTAAGTTTTATTATGACCATATTGTTTAAGTGCCAAAGCAATACAGGAGGAGACTCACTAAATGGAAAAGTTCTTAGACTTTTTGGAATGTGTAAGGGATTTTGTTACAAATGATGATCTTGAATTCTCTTGAAATATCTACAAAGAACAATGACAGCTATAGTTTCCTATGTTTTTAGAGAAAACAGAAGGCTAAAATGCCCCAATAAGTGCTCTCTGCTGGCTTTTCTATTTTAATACAGAACTATTATTGATCTAACTGTAAAGGCAACCCAGGCACTCATGGGGTCGTTAGCCACTTAGATGCAGGAGGGACATTTAAATCACTTGGTACCATATAGAAGTACTTACACTTTGCTCCAAGGTGGTTATATCCTGTTCTGCTTTTGAAAGCTTAAATTTGTATTCGCTAATTTGTCTATTGGCATCTCCTAGAACAGAAGAAGACAATAAATTATCTTCACCTGTCAGAGATGATGGTATGAGCCATCAAGCAGTAGAGAGGACCATGCAATCTTAAGATTACAAAATACAGGGCTGGGTGCGGTGGCTCACGCCTGTAATCCCAGCATTTTGGGAGGCCAAGGTGGGCGGATCACAAGGTCAAGAGATCGACACCATCGTGGCCAACATGGTGAAACCCTGTCTCTACTAAAAATACAAAAATTAGCTGGGCGTGGTAGCACAGGCCTGTAGTCCTAGCTACTCGGGAGGCTGAGGCAGGAGAATTGCTTGAACCTGGGAGGTGGAGGTTGCAGTGAGCTCAGATCGTACCACTGCACTCCAGCCTGGTGACACAGTGAGACTCCACCGCGCCACCCCCCCCCCCAAAACAAATTACAAAATACAAATGCACACACAACAACCATAGCATCTTCAGCAGCCCAGCTTCTGGACTATATACTACAAGATGCTCTAGCATATATGTTACTGCAGTATCCCTTGCAGCAAGAGTTACAAGAAAATTCATTCTTTACCCTATGATAAGTGTGAGCAGGGCTTGCAAAAGGAGCCCTGCCAATTCAGCAGCAGCCCCTACTAACCTTATGTGTGACCTTGTGGAGCCTCCATGCCCATAGTACTGGGCCCTCTAATTCCCTGAACTCGGCCCCATACCTTCCCATCTCCCAGGCTTTACTTCTGCTATCCAATACTGTAAGGGTCCTTTTCTCCCACCTCTGACTTAAGTCTTAACCTTCAAGGACAATCTCAATTTTCACCTCTTTCATGACTCTCCTTAGTTAATTATAACTCCTTCCCTTGCTGTATTTTATTGGCATTTTTATGACATCTGTCATGCTTTTTAAACATCGTATATGTAAGGAAGGAGAGGGGCTCTGTCTTGGCCTTCCTAAATCTACCTCTGTACCTAGCCAAGTGCTCTGCACATAGTGTATGCCTAAATACATATATGTTGGAATAAATGCTGTTCAGTAACATGATAATGTGTTATGGGTAGAGCTATAAGTTATTAGATGAACATCTGACCTAGGAAGTAACTCACTTAAAATGAAAAGTTTAGAAATGATGGCAGGGGACTTTTAAAATCCCTGCAAGACTCCAAGTTTAGCAAAAATCAGTCTCTGGCATGATTAGAGTATTAAGATTTGCAAAAGATAAACCAAATCTAACATACCACAGTAAATATTCAGTTTATCTAACTTAAGAACTTTGCTACATTTCCACATGACCAAGGTTACAATTACTTATACAGTCTTCAATGTGAGAGGTTTTTCTTTTTCTTTTTCTTTTTTTGAGACGGAGTCTCGCTCTGTTGCCCAGGCTGGAGTGCAGTGGCACGATCTCAGCTCACTGCAAGCTCTGTCTCCCGGGTTCATGCCATTCTCCTGCCTCGCCTCCCGAGTAGCTGGGACTACAGGCGCTCGCCACCACGCCCGGCTAATTTTTTGTATTTTTAGTAGAGACAGGGTTTCACCGTGTTAGCCAGGATGGTCTCGATCTCCTGACCTTGTGATCTGCCCACCTCAGCCTCCTAGAGTGGTGAGAGGTTTTTCTAATTGGACAATTACTGTCACCTTAAAAGGAACAGGGTTACCATCTCCCCAAAAGCCATATCTGGTAGTGAAAGAGAAGTATTCTTATTTCTGAGCTCTAAAACAAGCTTCAGGATCTTATTTTTAAATTGTTATCCTCAGCAATCTATTATCCAAATATACTGCTTCCTTCTCACTCTCCAAACCACCTTTCCCTTCCTGTTTTCAAAAGTTTAAGTCTCTTATCTCAGTAATTTCATGTGTGTTTTGAAATCCCATTCCAAAACACTCACATAATAGGCAAGGCATTGTCCAGAACCGAGAGTTGCTACACTCCTGGTCTTCTGGTCCAGGGGAGCTGCTTGCTTTTGTCTTTGCCAGCTTTCCCACAGTCCTGCAAAGCTCACTTGGTTCTACACCTCCTCCCTGGGTACTTTACCTTCTGCAAATACCAGCTATACTACACCTACCTACTCCAGGAAGTATTCACACATTAATGCAAGCCCATTCCCCCCTAAATCTGTTTCCTTTTAAATTTGCTGCTTCAGGACAATCTCTCAGATCTATCCCCTACCCTCTCTTTAAGAGTGCTGACAGCCACTGAACTGTTTCAGGCTCACCACTGTAGTAGCTTCCTGACTAGTCAGCCTGCCTCTTCCCATGTCCTTGTTCTCATCTACCCCCAACACCAAAATGACATTCTTGAATAAAATATTCACCAGGAAATGTCACAAGTGTCCTAACTGATGTCCAACAGAAAAGATAATACCAATATCAAAAGTTAGTATTAATAAGCCTTAATCCAGAAAGCATTTTCTTTTTTTTGAAGAGACGGGTTTTCACCACATTGCCCAGGCTGGTCTCAAACTTCTGAGCTCAAGCAATCTACCACCTCGGCTTCTCCAAATGCTGGGATTATGGGCATGGGTGACCACGCCTGGCCCCAGGAAGTCTTGGCAGTCCATCTCAGAAGGTTTAGATGAAAAGTCCATGGAATAAATAAGATTTTAATACTAGTTATCAGAAAAGTCACTATTCTTATTGGAAAAATACAAATCTCCTCTGTCCCAGAATTACACATAATCACTAACAAAGGGTAACTACAAATTCCTGCTGAAATCTTCCTACTATGGGAATTAGTGTGACTACAGTGATCATTTTATCATGAGGTCAAAAGCAGAAAGTGAGAAAAACCGGAATAATCTGGGTAAAATGAATAGACTTTATTTTGTGGACTTATTTTAAATTTCATCTAATAAACTTGGATTAACAAAAATACTTCTAGGAAAATTCTGAAATTATGCAATTTAGTGTGAAGTAGTTCCAAATAGATTCCTCCAATATCCAAGATAAATTCCAGAGGAAAAACTTTAATGGGGAAGGGTGCTTGCTGTACGGGAGCTTAAAGATGACACATGGGTATGGAAAAGGACAGTGCCAGGTTGTCAAAAGGCATTTCACTATGTGCAAAAAGTTCCTAGAAATCACTTTACCCAGAAAGGAGCATCATCCCCTGAAGCACACAGGCTAGTGGAGCTTCTATTCAGCTATCTTACTGACTAGGACTGTTTTTCTGGACTAGCCAAGGACTAACCAATCTTTGTAGCATAGCTCTTCTTAAGAAAAGCGTATTACGGCCAGGCGCAGTGGCTTACGCCTGTAATCCCAGCAGTCTGGGAAGCTGAGGCAGGTGGATCACCTGAGGCCAGGAGTTCGAGACCAGCCTGGTAAATATGGCAAAACTCCGTCTCTGCTAAAAACGTAAAAAATTAGCCAGGCACCAGGTGGCAGGTGCCTGTAATCCCAGCTACTCCAGAGGCTGAGGCAAGAGAATTACTAGAACCCAGGAGGCAGAGGCTGCAGTGAACCGAGATTGTGCCACTGCACTCCAACCTGGGTAACAGAGCAAGACTCCCGTCTCAAAAAAAAAAAAGAAAAGAAAAGAAAGTACTACAAGACACCAGCAACCTGCTGACAAACCCACCCCTGGGACAGTCTATATACAGACTGGGATTGACCTGTCCCCTGGTACCTACTCTGCATTTCGATGAACTGCAAGTCTGAGCCATTCTGCAGTCCTGCCAGGTCACCCACTGTGCCATCATTCCTGGAGCATTTCTGTCGTTCCTCCTCTAATTGAAGCTTCAGTTTTCTAATCTGAAATGAAAATAAAGGTTCATCAGCAAGATCCAGTCTCTGAAACAAAGCCGATGCTTATTCTGTGGTCACATCATAGAACAAAGCAGATCCTTATCATATCAGCCACATTCATTCAGAACCTATTTTCTTGAGTGCCTAATAGGAGACACCCATTTGTCCTAGGTGCTAAAGATAAGCTATGAACAAACATTGAAAAGAGCGAGCCCCGGGACCAGGTGTCCCAATAAAAAATAGCCATATTTTAAATTTGTGTCTGCTTTATGGAACAGTACATCTTTGGAGTATTTTTTGTTACTTTTGTTTAAAATGGACAATTCCAGCCAGGCACAGTGGCATGTACCTATATATCCGGCTACTTGGGAGGCTGAGGCATGAGGATCACATGAGCCCAGGAGTTCGAGACCAACCTGGGAAACATAGTGAGACCTCATCTCTAAAAAAATAAAACAAAACTATAAACAGTTAATTGATAGGGTATATTCAAGGGATTATTTCTTAAAATGGAAGATTCCATGAGCAGTTTTTTGTTGTTTACTTTTAGACATAGGTTAAATTTTCTGTATATAAAAATAATTGGGGCCAGGTATGGTGGCTCACGCCTGTAATCCCAGCACTTTGGGAAGCCAAGGTGGGCGGATCACGAGGTCAAGAGTTCGAGACCATCCTGGCCAACATGGTGAAACCCCGTCTCTACTAAAAATACAAAAATTAGCTGGGTGTGGTGGTTCATGCCTTTAGTCCCAGCTACTTGGGAGGCTGAGGCAGGAGAATCACTTGAACCCGGGAGGTGGAGGTTGCAGTGAGCAGAGATCACATCACTGCACTCCAGCCTGGTGACACAGTGAGACTCTGTCAATAATAATAATAATAATAATAATAATAAGAAGAAGAAGAAGAAGATATATAGAGATGACTCCCCAGTGGTCCTTAACTCCATCAACAGGGGTCAAAGGGAAGCCTCTGCACTAAGATTAAGTTTGCCACTCCCCAATGGGAAAAGGGTAAGCTCTATATTGGGACTAACTCTATACTTCCCAGACACCTCTGCCCTTTCAACACACAGGATCACCGTCATTAGCTGCCTTGAGAGAACCAGGACTGATCTCATTGTCTCCATCATTCCTATTTATGTGCATCTCGCAAAGGGTCATATTCTTCCTCTGCACTCTTCCTCACAAGGGTCTGTAGGACCACTAACCTTCATCTCCTAACCTTTCCCAATGCCTGAAACTTCTCCACTGTGCCCTCTAGAATTAACAGTCCATCATCAGCAAATGCCCTCTGTCCTCAGTCTTTTCTCTGAGCAGATGAGAACCCTCTCCCTTAAGAATCCTGCTGCTTCTGCAGCTCTCTCAAACACTGTTTTGTTTTGTTTTGTTTGAGACAGGGTCTCGCTCTGTGGCCCAGACTGGAGTGCAGTGGTGTGATCTCAGCTCACTGCAACCTTTTAGTAGATGGGGTTTCGTCATGTTGGCCAGGCTGGTCTTGAACTCCTGACCTCAAGTCATCCGCCCACCTCGGCCTCCCCAAGTGCTGGGATTACAGACATGAGCCACCATGCCCGGCCCTTTTTTTTTGGTACTTCCACAGCCTCCTACTACTGAACCTAGAGATGGAATAGGTGTCCTCTTGCTTTCCTTGCTGGTATTTTCCCTACATCTTCCCTAAAAGTCCCAGGTCTTAATCTCATCTCTTCAAATTATATACACTAACTACTTATCATTGCCAAAATCCCATTCCTTCATCACCATTTATTAAATAGCTCCCAACTTGCACTCCCTCTAGACTATTCCTGTCTTAATTTTTGGCAATTTCAGTGTATATCTAAGTAGAGGATCTCGCTGACAAATGATCTCTCGATTTCTGGTACACCTCCTCATACGGTGAAATGTGTTCCCCAGTGCTGAAGGTGGGGCCTGGTACACCTCCTCATACGGTGAAATGTGTTCCCCAGTGCTGAAGGTGGGGCCCTGGTACACCTCCTCATACGGTGAAATGTATTCCCCAGTGCTGAAGGTGGGGCCCTGGTACACCTCCTCATACGGTGAAATGTATTCCCCAGTGCTGAAGGTGGGGCCTGGTAGGAGGTATCTGGGTCATGGGGCAGATCCCTCATGAATGGCTTTGCACCGTTCCCTTGGTGATGAGTGAGTTCTCGCTCTGGTAGTTCACACAAGATCTGGTTGTTTAAGAGTGTACATCACCTCCCCACTCACTCACTCTGGCTTCTGCTCTTGACATATGACATGCCTGCTCCCCCTTCACCTTCTACTGTGATTAGAAGTTTCCTGAGGCCGACTGGGCACGGTGGCTCATGCCTGTAATCCCAGCACTTTGGGAGGCCGAGGTGGGTGGATCACCTAAGGTCAGGAGTTCAAGACCAGCCTGGCCTGAGGCCTCAGGAAAATGAGCTCAGAAGCTGAGCAGATGCTGACACCATGCTTCCTGTACAGCTTGCAGAACTACAGCCAATTAAACCTCTTTTCTTTTACTTTTTTTTTTTTTTGAGACAGTCTCACTCTGCCACCCAAGGCTGGAATGCAGCGGTGCAATCTTGGCTCACTGCAGCCTCCACCTCCCTTCTGCCTCAGCCTCCCAAGTAGCTGGGACTACAGGCACCCACCACCATACCCGGCTAATTTTTTTTTTTGTATATTTTTAGTAGAGTTGGGGTTTCACCATGTTGGCCAGGCTGGTCTCGACTCCTGACCTCAACCACCTGCCTCAGCCTCCAAAAGTGCTGGGATTACAGGCATGAGCTGCCACGCCCAGTCAAACCTCTTTTCTTTATAAATTACCCAGCCTCAGGTATTCCTTTATAGCCAAGCAAAAAATGGACTAACCCACCTCCCTTCCAAGGATCTTGCCATCTATCCCTTCTTGCTCTCAGCTACTCACTCCCACAATCATATACTGGATCTTATCATTAGACAATTGTAATCCCTACACAATTTAGTTCCATGTATCCTCTCTCTAACCACCATTCCTCATCTTTCTAGGTCTTTCTCTCTAGACTCAAATTCCAACAACCCTTCAACCACACTAGTACCACTAATCTACAGATTACATCATCTTTCTACTGTACCTTGATGTGTTCCTGAATATCTCCTGAATCCTCTTCATCCAGTTTAATTTCAAGGTCCATCATTATAATAATTTTCTTTCTTACTCCCTCACCTCTCCTGCCCCATTAATACTTTCCTGGTAAAATCTAGCGCTCTACTCACTCCATGCCTGCCCCTATGCAGCTGTAAGTAGCCAGAGAAACACGTAAATGCATTCACACAAACCTAACATATCATATAATACTGTTTATTGTCTGATGTCTTCCTACTAGAATGTCCCTCAGGCAGGAATTTTTTTCTAAACTAACTTATTCACTGAAATATCCCAGTGCCTAGAATAGTGCATGTTAAATAGTAGAATCTCACCCAACATTTGTTGAATGACTGAATAGGACTTCCAAAATAGAGAACACAGAATATGGGAGGGAAAAAAAATCAGTAACAAAATCATTCAAGAAATCTTCCCAGAACTAAAGAATGGGAGCTCCTAGAATTGACAGGGGCCCAGCATCACACATGAAAACTTCAAATCACATTGCTATCTTCAAATTACACCAGAACACTAGAGAGAAAGAGAATAGGATACAACCTTCCACAAAGAGGAGAAAAATAGATCACAAACCAGAAAAGATCAGAACTCAAAATGTTCATGAAAACTCAACAGCCATACTTGAAGTCACAGCACAATGAAGAAATGTCTTTTTAAAAAATCTTAAGGAGAACAATGGCAACTCAGGATTCTCCACCTAGCCAAACTATTTTAATCAAGTAAGAGGGTAGAATGAAGACATCTTCAGGCCTGCAAGGTCATGAAAAATTAACAATCCACAAACCCTCTTCTCAGGAAGCTACTGGAAGATGTACCAAAACTAGAAAATAAATAAGGAGAAAGACATGAGATACCAGAAAAAGGGAACCCAACCTAAATCACATGCAAAGAAAATCCCCAGATGCCAATGAAGGGTGACCACATCTATGTACCAAGAGACCAAGCCATTAGTTTAGAAAGGGACAAGTCAGATGCACCAAGATTCGACAAACTGGAACTGAAAGAATGCCAGATGCATCTGAAAATACTGAGTGGGTTTGGGGAGAGTCTGTGGTTAAATTGATGATAGAAAACCAAGCAAATACAAAGAAAAACTATAACATTAACTTAGAGGAAACTAATAGTTCCAAGGGAGATGATCCTAGAATGCAACCTGGCTCCACTGTGAGTAGAGTTTAGAGGGTCCTAATGACACAAGCAGACTGGAATTACACCGTTCCTTTATTAGGAGGATTTGGGAGTGGAAAATATGTATGTGTGTGGCAGGGACAAAGGATGAAAAACAGCTAAACCCTCATCTTCCATAAAAGGATGTCAACATAGAATGCCTGAAGCAGAACAATCAAGACGCAATGCAAGTATGTTACACAGAGATACAAGGACAGTACCCAAGAATCAGCTAAAAGCATTTAACAGAAATGGTCAGGGGTGAGGACAGAGGAGCCAGGCCAGGGGATTGCTGTGTTCATAACAAACTTTGTAGAAAACCATATGACTCCTTAAACTATGTGTCCTTAAAAAAATGTTTTAAGAACAGAAAATAACAAAGAGGTAAAATATGAATTATCCTTCAAATCTCACTAGAGTACTGATGTTTGAAATAAGCATATTTCTTTTTAATGAACATTTCAATTAGCTAGTATTTTACCATGTAACTTCGTTAAAATTATTTTACACTCCATTAAGAATGCCTTTACCTGTGACAGTAGTTCTTCCTTCTCTCCAGCAAGTTTTCGTAGCCTTACATCTAAAACAAATGAAAAAGATCGTAAACTAAACATGTGATGATGTAGTATATAAACAATTAAAAATTTTTCAAACTCATAAACAGCTAATATTATCTGATAAATTACATTACTTACAGCTCTGAATATCTAAAGAAATAAAGGTGTTAATAGCATTACGGAAAAGTTCTTAACTCTCTAAAACGTATTTCCACACAACTGATACTTATCAGGGCACCAAATGCAACATTTGTTCCCCACAGCAGTGATTTGCCACTTAAAGACAAACTGAAGTACAAAGGAGGTCATTTCCTTGTTTCAAGCTTTCACTAGTAGACAACTCAAATGTCAAGTGTGCTCCCAAAGGCTGAGCCCTTAGCGGGAGAGATTCAAATATGTGAAAGAAGATGGGGTAAGAGCAGGACTGGGCAAAGGAAGCTGGAGGAGAGAAAAGAGAGGAGCACAATGCTGGAAGAAGCGAAGGCCCCAAAAGCTAGTAGGGAGGGAAGGGGGCCCACTCCAAGATGTCGGCAGCTGGGCCAGGTGCGGTGGTTCACGCCTGTAATCCCAGCACTTTGGGAGGCCTAGTTGGGTGGATCACTTGAGATGAGGAGTTTGAGACCAGCCTTGGCCAAAATCGTGAAACCACGTCTCCACTAAAAAAATACAAAAATTAACCGGGCATGGTGGCAGGCGCCTGTAATCCCAGCTACTCAGGAAGCCATATGAACCTGGGAGATAAGAGGTTGCGCGTTGCAGTGAGCTGAGATCGCGCCACTGCAATCCTGCCTAGGCGACCAAGTGAGACTCTGCCTCAAAAAAAAAAAAAAAAAAAAAAAATGTGGGCATCCATGGGTGGATCTGCAGCTTGGTAGCACCATCAGGGTTCACTCCTGGCCTATGGAGATTTGACTCTTCCCAAGCTTGCATTAAAATAGGCCCCTTCAGCTGAGGAGACACCATTGTTCACTTAAAAAAGCAGCTGACACCTGACTGACCACTACCCTCTGTAAATGATGAGGGTCACAGCCAAATACAGATTTTGGTTTCTTCTGCACCTTTCAAGCAGGTCTGCCTGCTAGGACCTGCAGACGAGGGAAACAACAGCAGGGAAACACCCTGGGCTGCCTATAGCCAGACTCTTGTTCCATTCTCCAGATCTCTCTTGCTCACCCAGCATCTTGCTTTATTCAAAGTGCCTTACAATCACATTTCTGGAATGCTCCACATTAGAGAATGTGCTAACTTTTAAAATGTTTTTCAGTTTGCTTTACACTTATATCTCTCACTCCTCTAAGAAGCTTACACATATATGAAAACACGATGAAAAATGAAAGAAGATTGTTTTTTAAAAAATAAAAGTCGGCTAATGATACAGTATCTATCTGTGCCATTTTTCTTCCTCTAGAGTAGATTTCTTAGTGGGGTCAATAGATGGGCGACTTTGGTTTCTTGGAGAGAGGTGTCAGCAACTTTGTTTTTTCCTGGAGAGACGTGTCAGATTCTCAAAGGGTTAAATTTAAGAGGTTTAGACTTTAAGAGTCTGGGAAGCCCTGCTCTGGAAGTCATACTTCTCTCATATCTGTCTTTTTGGTCATCTGTTTCTTGGCTTAAGAAATGTGGTAGAAAAGAGGTACAGAACCCTGGGGTAAGTAGTGGAACATAAAACCAGATGTTCCAAGGATGAGAAACTTATAGCACACATGAGACGTCTCCTGCTAGCCTACTGCTCCCCTAGCACAGGTATACTAGACTATCTCTTTGCAGAAAAGTTTGTAGTTAAGTAAAAAACAATGCGTATAGGCCCATAGTACTTCCATCCACGGGCCTTACAGTTACACTTATTGCCTTACAATGACACAGATGCTGGTTTCCCAAGGCCAAGGATGTCTGAAGAAAATGGGCCAATGTGCCCAGATTCTTCTGGTTAAGTGTCTACTTGAGTCTCAGACAGCCCTTATGCTGTTTTTGTTTTCCAAGCTGGGATATGAAAAAGCAGAAAACCCAATAGGGTAACATTAATCCAAGTCAAGATAGCAACCAGTATCTTACCTAATGGCCCTTCTCCTGCTGACTCCAAGACCTGAGCAGCTTCCTGAGACACAACAGTGATGGCTCCAGCCACTGGTTCATGACTGACATCACCATTGGGAGTGCCATCGGGGATTATAACTAAGCCATGTTTCTGCAAGGGGGGAAAAACCCATCATCACAAAAGGCCCATATGGAAACAGTAAGCTCTGTGAGGTAACTGCAACAATACATGTTTGCTACAGGTAAAACCTGGTTAGAATCAGTTACATGGAATATAGCTCTGTGGAAGAAATAGCTTAAACCTACCAAATCTGGATTAGGGAATAAACATTGTAGTTTGTATTTGGGCTAGGAAAGATGGCAGGATGAAAAGAAGGAAGACAGCGGGTAAAGCAGTGAGGGACCTGAACTCCAGGCTAATGCTAACATACCTCTCCCGTCTTCACTGTCTCCTGCAGGTCAGCCAGCTCCTCTCTGAGCATATCTCTCTCATTCCTAAGGCAGGCAATGTATTCTTTCTGTTTCTCTAGGGCCTGGTTTTAGGTAAGGTAGCAAGGGAAACAATGGCAGAGAAAAAGAGCAGGTGAAAGGTAGCAGAGAAGTACCTAATTCAAATAAGCAAAGATAAAAGCATAAAAAGCAAGGAAGCAGTCAAAAGATTGGAAACAAGCAGTCAGATATGGGAGGAAATACAGAGTTACATGGATATACATCTCCAGAAGAGAGTTCTCATAGAAACTGGTCCTCATGCATCAATTTGGCAAAACATGTTTAATCACATCAAGCAGGGAAATAAATCTTTCTTTTCCAGTCAATGAAAAAAAAATAAAACAGGAAAAGGAAGATGAAGAGAGCAGCCAGAGTAAAACAAAGCTTTCCTTACTGACTGCCTCAGTACATTTTTATTTGGTGGACAAAAAGAATCCCACATTTCATGTTTAACTAAACTAGTTTATTCAATAATACAGTTGAGTTTTAAAAAAAAAAAAATAGTTCTGGAATAAAAATAACTATTATATGTAAGATATTTTAATTAAATATTGGCTGTAGATTGTTCTCCAAGTAGTGTGGCAAAATACTCAAATACCACTTAATTCAAAGTAGTTAACCTACAAAAGAATTCAAAGATCAACTTCTGACCATTTAATTAAATATAACTGAGACTCATTGGCTTTCTGTTATATTCCCAAAATGTGAAAAAACAAAACCCTGACAACATAAATACAGCCAAGCTATGGAGAGTCACAGAATATGGATTTCAGAATCAGGCTTTTGGGCCCTGGCACATACTCATCCTATGCCTCAGTTTCCTTACCTGAAAAACAGAAGGGATAATAGCACCCATCCCAAGGGCAGAGGCATAAATCAAGGTAAAGCATTGCCTGTAATGCCTAGATAGCAGGGACAGTTCAGGAGAAGCAGGTTGGTGATTTCATTTGTAAATTCCCTGCCATTCCCTTAATCTCACAACTGTCAGCTGAGGATGATGCAGAAGCAGGAACACACTTTGGTTATCGATGAAAAATAAAATCTACTATGAAAAAATAAAATCTATTGTAAAAGAAAATAACCCAGAATTAAAAATATACCCAAAGTAAGTAGTCTATGCAGGGATCTGATAACTGGCCTATTTGAAAAAGCCTTTCCCCACATATTTTTGTTCATATATTTAATGTCTTCTGTCAGCATTCCCATTAATCCAAGAAGTTAAACTACAACAGGTAACTTTCCTCTCAGTTCATGGGCTTTGGAAGTGGGACAGAGAATTGCTGAGAAATTGATAGCTGAATAGTTGGGCAATTTAAAAAATCATTATAATCCTATTTTGCAACCAAATAGGGATCAAGTAAATAAGGGATGATAGCAACTACCATTTGTACAGCACAAATTATATGGGAGGTACTATTTTATATAATTTCTCTCTTATACATTATTTTGTATTTGAAACCTCTACATACCCTGTGAGGTACCTGTATTATCCCCATTTAACACATCAGAAAATTGAGGCTCAGAGTGGTTATACTTTTTGCTCAAAGTCACATTAAGTGGCAAAATCAGAAAATGAATCTGGTTGTTTTTGTTTCCAAAGCCCTTAAATAGTTTTTTAAAAACACGGCCCTGTGGAGGATACATTAGATTCCCTTACTGTTAGCCCAGATGATGCTAGGAAAGGAGCCCATAGGGCAAATCCTACTCTTTACTTATCCAAACTGCCATGTCAGTATCTGACTTCTTTTCAACAATTTACAGTCAGACTATATGGCGTGTCTCAAGTCTGCCTGTGAATTGACAATGTGGGTTCAGCACCATCCAGCTAGTATTAACACTCCGTTACATTAATCATTAGTAATAAATGAAACATTGGGAAAACAAACCACAACAATACTTTCCCATGTGTTGAGTGTCGCTTTAGTCTTTATGGGTTAGGTGTTTTTGGTTACTGGTATCTGCATGCATAGTTATGTCATGTATCACCACATATAAGTGGGTAAATGATCACTGCCACACATGCTCTATATAAACAACACCACTGAATATAAAAGACCTCTGAGGAACAGGCCAATCTGAAACTAGGAATTCTAGCAAATGATATACATGACATCTGCTCCTCTTCCACATCTTATTGCACTGGGTTTTATTTTTACCTTCGGACTTTTTAATTTCCTCTTCCCATAATTACAGATGGGAAAATAAAATACATCCTGTAAATTCACCCATTTCACCACAAAGTTTGAAGACTACTAAAATACCTTATAATTGGATCAAATGTATTCACGCTGGATCTAAAATCCTCCATATTACCTGACCATATAACCACTACCCTTGCGTTCGTGTACAACAATAGCTCCTAGAGTAGATTTTTTTTAGGGTAAAAAGTACATGCTTGTAGAGTTCAAAATAATTCTTTATCCCTGACCTAACCTCAAATCCTACCATCCAGAAGCCAAAAGGATGTGTATAATGGGCTGAACTTTTGGGCAAAGGGTTAATTCTCCACATAATTGTACTGGGGAACAAATATCTTTGGTCAGAATGGAAGTGAGTTTACGCTGGGCTATAGAGATATGCAAGTTCTTTGTATACGCCTATTCTATACATGGGCTCCTGGTGTTTAGAACCGCAGTGGAGCTAGAGGCAAGACCACTAATGAACTGAACTTTAACCTGGGAATAATGGACATATTTCTTCATTAAGTTACTAAATGTAAATCTTAAAAATGAAGCTAGAGACAAGTAGTTACTGTCCATACTGAAAATGTGTCTTTTAAAAGTCAAGGGAGGACCACTGCCCCTGTATTATGATAACAAATATTGGCAAGGACATGGAGAAACTGGAACCCTTGTTCACTAGTGGTGGGAATGTAAAATGGGACACCTGCTACAGAACACAGTATAGCTGTTACTCAAAAAAATTAAACACAGAATTACTATAAGATCCAGCAATTCTACTTCTGGGTACATACCGAAAACAACTGAAGGCAGAGTCTTGAAGAGTTATTTGAATACCCATGTTCACAGCAGCATTATCCACAATGGCCAAAAGGTAGATGTGTCGATATATCAACAGAAGAATGTGGTATGTATGTACAATGGAATATGATTCAGCCTTAAAAGGGATGGACATTCTGACATATGCCGCAACATGAGCCTTGAGGGCGTTATGCCAAGTGAAATAAATCAGATACTGCATGATTCCACTGATATGAAGTACCCAGAGTAGTCAAATTCACAGAGACAGAAGGTGGAATGGTGGTTGCCAGGGGTTTGGGAGAAGGGACTGAATGGGGAGTTGTTTAATGGGTACAGATTTCAGCTGTGGAAGATAAAGAAGTTCTGATGGTGGTGACAGTAGCACAACATCATGAATGTACTAAATGCCACTGAACTGTACACTTAAAAATAGTTAAAATGGTAAATTTTATGTTATTTGTATTTTAGCACAATTTTTCAAATTTAAAAAAAAAAGAGTCTACTAGTGATTCAACAATTTGGACTAATCTTGAGGGACTTATACAGAGTGAAAAAGGGTAATTCCAAAAGGTTAATATATACTATATAATTCCATTTTTATAACATTCTTAAAATAGCAAAACTACACAAATGAAGAAAAGATGAGTGGTTCTCAGGGTTTGGGAGGGGAAGGGGAGATAAAGGCTATGACTATAAAAAGGCAAGAGGAGGAGAAATCCCTTATAGTGATAGAAATGTTCTGTATCTTCACTGTATCAAGGTCAATACCCTGGTTGTGATATTGTACTATAGTTCTGTAAGATGTTACATTTGGGGAAGACTGAGCAAAGAATATATAGGATCTCTCTGTTAAATTTCTTCTCTTTTCTTCTTCTTCTTTTTTTTGAGACAGGGTTTTGGTCTGTTGCCTAGGTTGGAGTGCAGTGACACAATCTCAGCTCACTGCAACCTCTGCCTCCCGGGTTCAAGTGATTCTTATGCCTCAGCCTCCCAAGTAGCTGGGATTACAGGTGTGTGCCACCATGCCTAGCTAATTTTTGTATTTTTAGTAGAGACAGGGTTTCACCATGTTGGTCAGGCTGGTCTCAAACTCTTGACCTCAAGGGATCCACCCTCTTTGGCCTCCCAAAGTGCTGGGATTAAAGGCATGAGCTACCATGCCCAGCCCTGTTTAATTTCATACGACTGCACGTAATTCTAAAATTCTGGCCGGGCACAGTGGCTCATGCCTGTAATACCACCACTTTGGAAGGCCGAGATGGGCCGATCACTTGAGGTCAGGAGTTCCAGACCAGCCTGGTCAACATGGTGAAACCCCATCTCTACTAAAAATACAAAAATTAGCCGGGCATGGTAGTGCACACCTGTAGTACCAGCTACTCAGGAGGCTGAGGCAGAACTGCTTGAACCCGGGAGGTTGCAGTGAGCTGAGATTACGCCACTATACTCCAGCCTGGGGGACAGAGAGAGATTCCATCTCAAAAAAGGGATACTAAAATAAAATAAAATATTCTCCAAATAAAAGCCAAATAATTTATATTTTAAACTGAGACATTTGAGGGGATTCTATGGCTGGTCCATGATTATCATTTTAAAATACTAAGGCACTCATACAAGCTAGAAATCCTGGGCCTACAGATCTGTGTTAAAGAAAATTATGTAAAGTCCTAAAAGAAGCCCATTCTAGATAGTGACCAGATTTTAACTAAAATTTTAAAATTACCTACTTTGTCCCACATGTTTTTTTACATCTTATGTTGTATCTCCCAAGCAAAAATTTAAATCAAATCAATGGTTCAACAATTAAATTTCACTTTCCAACTTCAAATTTCAATTTTAAAATCATAATTTCAAAATACCTAACATGTTTTGAAACATACATTGATTTATCCCCCAGAAGGCTTTTCTAGGTTTAGATGGAATTTTTAATAATCAGCAACTTGAATGTCAGAGAATTATCTATAAAGTAGCTTTTGTTCTTTAAATTTTTGGTCTACAAACTTTTTTTTTTAAAGAACGGGTATCACTCTATTGCTTAGGCTGGAGTGCAGTGGCACGATCATAGTTCACTGCAGCCTCCATCTTGTGGGCTCCAGTGATCCTCCCACCTCAGCCTCCTAAGTAGTTGGGGCAGGTGCATGCTCTGCAAATTTTAAAATTCTTTTGGAGAGACAGGGTGGGTCTCACTATGTTGCTCAAGCTGATCTCAAGCTCCTGAGCTCAAGCAATCCTCTGGCCTCAAGCGATCCTCGAGCCTTGGCCTCCCAAAGTGCTAGGATTACAGGCATGAGCCTACAAACTCTTAAGAGGTAATGTAATCTTCCCATGTATATATTAATGAGAGAGGTCTTTGAAGTGATGAAAAAGACTGGATCCTGCTGACCACCGGCTGGGCTTCAGAATGTTCCTAACAACATTCTGAGGGTATGATCCAGAGGGTTTCATATCCAGGCCTGTCTCTCAGAGATGGTCTCAGGGATCTTTAACAACTATTCCCTATCCCCTCTAACCTTAAGCAGAACAAGACGTTTCTTACATGTTCTATTTCCTCTGCCCTTCCCTGACAAGGTAAGCCTCTGGCAACTATGGCTAAGTGGTTCCCCTACTACAGAACAGAGAGCTCAGCCAGGTGATGGGACTGCCAATCAAAGGCCACATGAGATGAACTGGAGGGAATTTTCTCCAGTTTTTGGTGTATATGGAATCCACCTGCAGAGCTTAGCAAACTAGCAATGAAGACATTTCATTTATCTGGGCCCTTACTTGGGGCAGTTCTGTGGTTATAATTAGAGACAGCCACCCTAGTAAGTCTTACTTTCCTATCTGTTTCTGTAATTGAATTGATCTTAATCTCTTCCTATTTTATTCACCAAGGATTTATAGGATGCTAATAACTTTCTCCCCACCACTACTCTCTTCTTATCCAAATTCCTGTAATGTAAGGATATCGAGTTAACCACAGAGTTTGAATTGAATGCTTGTGGCTGTTTCTGGGTAAGAATTCCCAAGGGAGGCCAGTGGTGGTGGCTCACGCCTGTAATCCTAGCACTTTGGGAGGCCAAGGTGTGTGGATTACCTGAGGTCAGGAGTTAGAGACCAGCCTGGCTAACACGGTGAAACCCCGTCTCTAATAAAAATACAAAAAATCAGCTGGGCATGGTGGTGTGTGCCTGTAATCCCAGCTACTAGGGAGGCTGAGGCAGGAGAATCACTTGAACCCAGGAGGCAGAGGTTGTAGTGAGCCGAGATCATGCCACTACACTCCAGCTTGGGCAACAGAGTGAGACTCCATCTCAAAAAAAAAAACAAAACAAAACAAAAAAAAGAATCCTAAGGGAATACAGAGAAACTTGTTGGCTGAAAAGAAGAGTTCTTTCCAGGCACGACATCAGGTTTTTCTATGGAAGTCTCTTTCTATCTTCTACTTACTCATTTTTCATACTGTGTAAATGCTCAAGAATAATCAAAAGGACAGGTTTTTTCAATCTCTAGGTTAAATTCTATTGTAGTCCTCATCAATGAGCTTCTAACCAAAGCCCAATTTCATCTCATACCCCAATTTTTTTATCTTTCCAAAGAAGTGTCTCCTGGAGGTCAAACACCTCTTTTGTCATGGTGTCTATTTTCTGCTGCATGCGCTGCTTCTCCTGCAGAGGAAGAGGGGAAGAGAAGTAATAAAAGAGCAGAAAGAAAAGGGAGAGGAGGTTTGAGGGAGGAAACAAAAATAAAGCCGATAAAGAAACTTAACCAAAAGGGAAAGTCTGTGATGAACAGGAAAAGCAAAATTGGTTTGCCAAAAGAAAAGATGACATTCACAGTCTTGGCCACAAGATTCTCACTGGCTTGTCCCTACAAAAGTAAGCAAAGGAACCAGGAATAACTGTTCTAACCACAGCTATGTGGCGGCAAGCCAGCTAGAATTTCTGTGTACATACAGCTCCGTATGTATATTCTTTCTTTGATAACTGCAAGAACTTACATTCCTAGAGAGGGAAATTTAGATTTGCTTATGAACAAATGACCTTTTATCTTAGAGAACAAGCAGTTTTGAATTTTATTTTTTAAGCAGAACTGATCATTTTGAATTTCTGTTAGCAGAATCTATGACAGCAAGAACACCATGAATTTTGTGTTATTTTAAAATTATTTATATTATTTTGAAACATTTAAACTTAGCATTTAACAATCCTTAAATGACCTTTTTAATTGTCAATGGTGCTTAACTGGTTTTCTTCTTATGCATTATTGGTAAATTATTATCTCCTCCTTCCCCTACTCATACCTTAGGTACCTTACCATGGAATTTTCCATTCCAAAGACCAAAAAACATTATTTGTAATATTTAAAGATTTTCAGCATAACCATAGATACTGACATCTAAAAGATGTTCATTCTAGATGTAAAAAACATCTAAAACTATAGTTTTCAAAGTTTGTATACCTAGCACCCTAAGCTTTTAAAGAAGTCACAGTGACAAACTATAGAAATCAAGCATTATATTCTTCTTAAATGCAATTACAATGAAAAACTAGAACTTTACCAATCCTAACTTAAGCTATTGAATTTGAGAAGCAGCCCCCAAAGCAGGTTTATTATTTTATGTGGTTGGCATTTTGGCACAGAAAGATAAAAGAACAAAAAAGGAAAGAATTTCACAGTATTTTAAAATACCAGCAGGATACAGATTCTGGAAAATATGCTTCCTACCTTATATGGAGAAAAACTAAGAAAATTAACCTCACATGTAATCTGATAGATCCACAAGGTTATCTGTATCTGCACTTGAAATCCACAAATTCTGGGTATGTTCAATTATTCTTTTTTTTTTTTTTTTTTTTTGTTTGAGACGGAGTCTTGCTGTGTCACCCAGGCTGGAGTGCAGTGGCCGGATCTCAGCTCACTGCAAGCTCCACCTCCCAGGTTTACGCCATTCTCCTGCCTCAGCCTCCCGAGTAGCTGGGACTACAGGCGCCCGCCATGTCGCCCGGCTAGTTTTTTGTATTTTTTAGTAGAGACGGGGTTTCACCGTGTTAGCCAGGATGGTCTTGATCTCCTGACCTCGTGATCCACCCGTCTCGGCCTCCCAAAGTGCTGGGATTACAGGCTTGAGCCATCGCGCCCGGCCCAATTATTCTTAATAATGACAAAAATTAACACCAGTCTTCAAATTTAAAAAGTCATTTCTTTTTCTCTATTAAATGATTTTTAAAAATCATTTGTAGAGAGAGATATTAAGAGGTAGGTCTGAGGGGAAAGAGGGAAAGAGGGAGAGAAAAAGAAAGCTAAGGTCTGAGTAGCCAGGAAGGTGGACAAGTGTGGTACGTGAGATCTCTCTCCTGGGATCGTTAACATCTATGCTTCCTGACATCTCTGGCATGTCAACACTAACTTAACATTAGATGCCTTTGATAGCCACACCTAGATAGTGGGCAGGATCCCCCTTCAAACTTATTTCTATATTTATCTAAAACATCGTCTCAAGAGGGAAAACCACATTTAAAGAAAAAAGATGGATGCAATGTAGTAGGCCTGCAAGGATGACTAATGTTTTCAAAGAGTTCTTGGTAGACTATATGCTTCATTCCATTCCTAAGACGTTGCCAACAATGCGGCAGAGTCCCTTCGCTTGCAGAAACCTGAACCTTCAGACTAGCTATTCTTTACCTTTTTGTATAGAAACTATCTTGACATTTCTTCTTTTTCATTTAGCCACCTGAGAAATGTATTTACCTGAGTGAAAATCAAACTTATTCCTCAAGAATCATGTCCCAAAAGATGGCATTCACTAATTCCAAAGAATAATGTTATTCTATAATTTTTCCTTTTGCCCATTTCCTAAGATATCTTTAGGAAACTGTATTTAGGAATAAAAGACACAAAAATTTCTGCTACCAAAGTGGGGTAATGTTCATAGGATTTACAGTATTAATTTTTAAGCATGATCTGGTTTATGTCTGAAAACTTTTAGCGTACAGTCAAATATAAAGAGACAAGTAAACTCTGATGCATCTTAACTTTCCTTCCCTCCCAACACACACATCTTCATCCGGTTCAACTCATTTTTTTCAAAATTAAGTATTCCCATAGTTCATGTACGTACCTCAATAAGCTCATCTCTTTGCCGAAGGCCTTCTTTAAGTTCTTCCATCTTATGCTGCAGCACACTACACATATGTTTCTGCCTTTCTAACTCCTGTTATTAAACAAATAATATCATTTACACAGGTCATGGCACACAAGAAATTTGAACATATACAATACAACACAGAGGTTAAGAATGACCTCCAGAAACATGTCCAAACTCCTGATTCATAGTAACTTAGAAAAATTGTATCTTCTATAGAAAGGTTAAGAAAATTTTAAAATTTCATCTTGTATAATTATTTATCTGGAAAACTTGAACTAATCAATGGCAAAATTATTAAAAACAAAAGATAATTTAGTCAAGTAACAGGTTATAAAATGAACACATACAATTCAATGACATTCATATACAAATAAAATTCAAAGAAGGAATAATAAATACAATATCAAAATAAAATCAACATTAAATAAAATACATACATGTAAACTTATAAAATATATCCAAAACCTATATGAGGAAAATTATATAAAACATTCTCAAAAGACAAAGCAGTAGGATTGAATAAATGGAAAGGCATATCGTCTTCTTGGATTAAAAGTCTCACAACATTATAAAAATGCCAGTTCTCCCTAATCTATACATTTAATGCAGCACAAATAAAAATACCATCAGGTTTTTCTTTTCTCATCAGAGCAAGGCAAGTTGATTTGAAAGAAAAACACAAGAAAAAGTAGCCAGAAAAATACATACTGAAAAAGAAGAAAGCCGGCCCTACTAGGTATTAAAACATATTATAAAGTTTCTATAATTAAAACAACGTTGTTATGGTACATGAATATAGACCAAGGGAGCAGAATAGAAAATTCAGGAAAACACTCATTTACATATACAAATATATTTAAAAACCACAAAAATAAGAGCATCTCAAATCAATGAGAAGGAAAGACTTTTAAATTAGCAATGGTGGGATAACTGGATATTCATTTGGAAAAAGATAAAATTGGAACTATACCCCATACCACACACCAGGACAAATTCCAAATCAATCAGAGGTTTACATAAGAAAAGAAAGCCAGGGAGTGAATGGGGGAAGAGGGAAGGGAAGGGAGAACAAACTGTACAGGAATAAAAGAAAAGATAAGTAACCAAGGAATGGGGCAATCTTTACTGAAAAAAATGACTCAAAACTCCACAAGCAATGAGGTAAAGGTACAATAAATTAGACTATATAAAAATCAAAATTTTAGGCTGGGCGTGGTGGCTCATGCCTGTAATCCCAGCACTCTGGGAAGCTGAAGCAGGCGGATCCCTTGAGCCCAAGAATTCAAGACCAGCCTGGGCAACATGGCAAAACTCCATCTCTATAAAAAAAAATTCAAAAATTAGCCAGGGTTGGTGGCGTGTGCCTATAGTCTCAGGTATTCTAGAGGCTGAGGTGGGAGGACCACCTGAGCCTGGGGAGGTCAAGGCTATAGTGAGCTATGATGGTGCCATTGCACTCCAGCCTGATGACGGAGTGAGACTCTGTCTCCAAAAAATAAATACATAAATAAACAAAACCTTTGAATGGCAGAGAATCTCTAAAACTAGGCCAGGCGCGGTGGCTCATGCCTCTAATCCCGGCACTTTGGGAGGCCGAGGTGGGCGGATCACCTGAGGTCGGGAGTTCAAGACCAGCCTCACCAACATGGAGAAACCCTGTCTCTACTAAAAATACAAAATTAGCTGGGCGTGGTGGCGCACGCCTGTAATCCCAGCTACTCAGGAGGCTAAGGCAGGAGAATCGCTTGAACCCAGAAGGCGGAGATTGCAGTGAGCCAAGATTGCGCCATTGTACTCCAGCCTGGGGAACAAGAGCAAAACTCTGTCTTAAAAAGAAAAAACTAGAAAGAAAAAAAGCACTAACTGCATAGAATAACAAGCTATGGAAATGGACAGTTTATAGAAAAAGAAATAGAAATAGCTCTGAATATGAAAAGATACGCATACTAAGAGAAATGGAAACAAACTATTTGTCTCACCAAAACACTAATAAAAGTTCAAAAACTTGACAACGTATTCCAGGACAGAACTATGAGGAAAGAAATAGGCCCTCATACATTTTGGTGAGAATGCAAATGGTCTAATGCTTACAAAGGAGACCACGACAGTATCTACAAAACTACATACCTTTTGACCCAGCAATCTCACCCTTCATCATAGATACATTGGCAAAATACAAAAAGACCTATGCAGTATGTCATTTCTACAGGACTATTTTTAACAGCAAAACGTGACAAACTTGAATGTCTATTAATACAGGGAACTGCTGGAATACAGCATGGCACATCCATACTGCAGAATAATTATGCAGTGGTGAAAAAGAATGAGCAAGATATCTCTATGTGACATTCATAAGGCGATAAAATCTAGATGCAGAACAGCATTTATATTAACTGTATGCTACCATTTTCTAAGGAGAGTGAGAAATACATTTATTTGTACATATATTTTGAATGATTTTATATATATATATATCTTTTTAGATTAAAAATGGCTACCTAATTTATCTTCTTGGATTTAAAAAATGGAAAGATAAACCATTAAATTTTAAAATTCCTTAAAGGAAGGAGAAAACAGAGATAAAGAGACAGAGATAGAAGATTGACTTCTTCAAATATATTTTCTTTGTTAACTTGACTCAAGATCTATGTAAGTATTCTAGATAGTCACAAAATTGTGAAACAAAATTAAATTTAGAAAGCAATTCCTAGCGGGAACAATTCAAGTGGCCATTGATATATGAATGGATAAACAAAATGTGGTATATATACAGTGGATTATTCAGCTTGAAAAAAGAAACTCCTATCACATGCTACAAAATGGATGAGGCTTAGGACATTATGCTAAATGAAGTAAACCAGTCATGAAAAGATAAATTATTGTATGATTCTACTTATGAGTTTGGTACATAGAGTAGCCAAATTCAGAGAGACAGAAAGTAGGATGGCAGTTGCCAAGGGCTGGTGGCAGGGAGAAATGGGGAATTGTTTAATGGGTACAGAGTTTTAGTTTTGAAAGATGAAAAATTTCTGGAGATCTGATGTACAATAATGTGAATATGCTTCACACTACTGAACTCTACACTTTAAAACAGTTAAGATAATAAATTTATGGTGTTTTGTGATGACAATTAAAATTTTTTAAATAAAAGTAATTTTAAAAGTAATTCCTAAATATTGAAAATAAAATGCAGTGAACCTAACTATACATCCAGTTTGTAGCACAGAAAGAAACTATTTCAAGTAACTTCTAAAAACAACAGTTCGGCTATACACTGACTAGTGGCAAAAATAACAGCCAAGCAAAACAAACAAAATAAAAATCTTTTAACTATTTTCAGTAATTAAATTGTTGGTGTTAATGTTGGTATTGCTATTCTAGGCAACTTGGGATAAAGCAAAGAGAACAGAACGTAACATAATTACTATCATCCCTAGAAACTTTGAGAACTAGGAATTGTAGTGTAGGGGAAACAAAAAAAGATACAGATGAAAGACAGAAGAGGTTAAATAAAAACCCTATAGTCCTGCATATGAACTGGAACTATCAGCATGATCTCGTAATATATTTTGTCGTTAAAAACAAATAAAGAACTTCACACACCTATTTCCCAAATGTATCCACTGAAAAGACCCATAAACAGTCACCTACTTGGTGGCAATGAGCGTCTCTAGCACTCACGCTAAACAGAACCAGGGCTCCCTGGACAAATGGCTGATTCCAGGTCTGTGGCAGAAAATGTGCAAGATGAGACTGGAACATATTCCGCCAAAAAGCAAAGAAGCTATCCAAAACAATTAGACTCACCAGAAGCACTTGGGAATCAACCTCAAGAGGTTCACATTAGCCAAAGATGGGACAATTTTATCATCAAAAAGAATGAAAGTTGCAGTGCAACTGAAGACATCAAATGCTTGAATTTACGACTTCACACCGATATGTCAAGAGAAAAGTAATTGGTCACTGTCAGAAGACAACCAATTCCTTTTTTTTGAAAACTCATAAAGGGAGAAAATACTTGCAAATAATATATCTGATAAAATTCTTATATCTAGAATATATAAACAACCTTACAAGTCAATAATAATAAGGCAAAATCCAACTTTAAAACGGACAAAGGATCTGAATAGACATTTTGCCAAGGAAGATACACAAATAGCCAATAAGCCCATGAAAATATGTTCAAAATCATTAGTCACCAGGGAGATGCAAATCAAACCACACCTATTAGGATGGCTAGAATAAAAAGGACAGATAACAAGTGTTGATGAGGATGTGGGGAAATCAAAACCTGCATACATTGCTGGTGTGAGAATAGAAAATGGTGCAGCCACTTCGGAAAACAGTCTGGCACTGTTCAAATGGTTAAACACAGATTTATCGTATGAATCAGCAATTCCACTCCCAAGTATATACTTAAGAAAAAAGAAAGCATATGTCCAGACCATGAGCAGTGGCTCATGCCTGTAATTCCAACACTTTGGGAGGCAGAGGCAGGAAGATTGCTTGAGGCCAGGAGTTACCAGCCTGGGCAACATCTCTTAAAAGGCCCTATCTCTTAAAATAAAAAAGAAAAAGAAAACTTATGCCCAAAAACAACCTGTACACAAATGTTTATGGCAGCATTATTCTTAACAGGAAAAAGTATAAACAACCCAAATGTCAATCAATGCACAAATGGATAAAGAAAATGTAGCATACCCCAAAAATGGAATATTAATAGGCTATAAAAAGGAATTAAGTACTGATACATGGTACAACATCATGCTAAGTGAAAGAAGCCAGTCACAAAAGACCATGTATTATATGATTCCTTTCATATGAGTCTAGAATAGGGAACTCTATAGATAGAAAGTAGATTAGTGGTTACTTACAACTGAGGGGTTTGGGGGAAAGGAGGATGATACTAAAAAGTAACTGTGATGAAGGTTACACATATATATGAATATACTAAAAACCACTGAATTGTACATTTTAAACGGATGATTTGTATGTTATTTGAATTATATCTCAATAAAGTTGCTTAAAAATAACATTAAATAGGCTGGGCACAGTGGCTCACACCTGTAATCCCAGCACTTTGGGAGGCCAAGGTGGGTGGATCACCTGAGGTCAGGAGTTCGGGACTAGCCTGACCAACATAGTGAAACCCCATCTCTACTAAAAATACAAAATTAGCCAGGTGTGGTAGTCCATGCCTGTAATCCTAGCTACTCAGAAGGCTGAGGCAGGATAATCGCTTGAACCCAGGGAGGCGGAGGTTGCAGTGAGCTGAGATTGCGCCATTACACTCCAGCCTGGGCAACAAGAGCGAAACTCTGTCTAAAAAAAAAAATAAAATAAATAAATAACAAAACAAAACAAAATAAAAATAATAATAATAATAATAAAATATAAAATAAAAAAATTAAATTAAATTAAATTAAATAAATTGGTAATGACAAAATCAGAACATCCCATTTTGCAGTCCCTAGTCAACTGAAGGATCTAAGCATGTATCTACAGCATTAACAGCCAGCCACACATCTGGACCTCCTAAAGGAAGACAACTGCACCATCTAGGAAGCAGGTTTTCCAAAAAAACTGAAGTTATATTTGATTAAGCCTCTATGCCTAACTACCTACTTACAGAGAATACAGAGGAAAGGGGAACATAGTAAAGACACTAAGGGGATGAAAATGGAAAAACCTGTAAGACTGGGAAATATTAAGCAACCCAGTTTCTTAATATTTTATATTTTCAACATATTTATTATAAGGAGAAAAAACATGAAAGAGGACCTATACATGAAAAGAGACTTAAAAGATTTATCAGCTAATTCCAAGGTGTGAAACATACCTGGATCCTGATTTTTTTAAGTGTAAAAAAGAAAAATCATTTATGACATTTTGAAACTACTGAAATTTTAACATTGATTGGATATGTAATATGAATTATTGTTAATTTTACAGGTGTGAAACGGTCTTTTGAGTACGCTTTAAAAGAGAAACAATGGGCCGGGCGCAGTGGCTCATGCCTGTAATCCCAACACTTTGGGAGGTCAAAGAAGGAGGATTGGGCAATGTAGCAGGGCCCCATCTCCACAAAAAGATTTTTAAAAAACAGCCAGGTATGGTGGCATGTGCTTACAGTTCTAGCTACTCAGGATTACTTGAGCACATGAGATCAAAGTTACAGTGGGCTGTGATCGTGCCACTGCACTCCAGCCTGGGGAGCAGAGCGAGACCCTGTCTGTAAAAATAATAAAATTAAATTAAATTAAAATATAAAACAAAATAATTATTGTAATTCCAGGAGGAGACACTAAAGACATTTTGAAAAATTTTGTTAATACTGTATAATTATTATTGAACGGTCCTTCTCTACTCTCACTACCTGCTTCTGTAATGAAATACACCAGAGTGCCTGACCTCTTTGTGTATCTCTGAATATAAACATTCTACTGTATAAAGCAATAGTTGTTTAGAACGAGAGAGCTCGGGATAAAGACATGTTAGAGAGAGATACTGTCACAAAGTCTTCTGCATCACACTACATGAAGCAAATTTCCAGGGTATTAAAAAAAAACTTAATACATTTTAGGTTTGAAAAGTACAACAAGGTCCGACATGGTGGCTCACAACTGTAATCCCAGAACTGTGGGAAGCTAAGGTGGGTGAATTGCTTGAGCCCAGGAGTTCGAGACCAGCCTGGGCAACATGGTGAAACCCTGTTTCTATAAAAAAATTTTTTTTTAATTAGCCAGGCATGGTGGTACATGCCTGTAGTCCCAGCTACTCAGGAGGCTGAGGTGGGAGGATCACTTGAGCCTGGAGACAGAGGCTGCAGTGAGCTATACTTGTGCCACTCCACTCCAGCCTGGGCTACAGAGTGAGACCTTGTCTCCAAAAGAAAAAAAGGACAAGATTAAGAAAAAAACTCTATGCATACTAAAATAACTCTACTGCCTTCTAAAATGATGGAGGGAAAAACTAAGTTGGTTAAAATAGCTAATTATAAGGGTTTTCTTCATTTTAAAAAATGCTGAAGGATATTTGAGATGATGGAAAGATAATTCATTTTAGTAGTGACCATTAAATACTTAGCATGAGATTTTTACTCTAGTCTGCTACAAACAAAGAGGCAAAAATAGATAAGAAAAAATATGTGGGACAGCAAAAAAAGGAGTCCAGAGGCTCTAGGAAAAGCATGATGGCTCAAAATCTCCAAAAATGGCCTATTGGATATACAAGAAGAATCAAAGATATACATATTTAACATATATAATGCTCTTCAGTGGGCCACTGTCAGTCCAATATGAAAACAACTAGAAGACTCTTTTTCACCATCTAAATACCAGTCCTAAATAAACAATTTTAGAGCAGTTTTAGATTCACAGTAAAATTATGTTTAAAGTACAGAGAGTTTTCATATACTCCCTGTCCCCACACATGCACAGTCTACCCTATTATAAACAACCCACACTAGAGTGGTACATTTTGTTCTATCACTGAACCAACATTGACAGATCACTATCATCCAAAGTCCAGAGCTCACATTAGGGTTCACTCTTGGTATTGTACATTCTATAGTTTTGGACAAATGTACCATAACAACATGTATCCACCATTATGATACAGAATAGTATCACTGCCCGAAAAATCCTCTGTGCTCTGGTCTATTCATCCCTCTCCTCCAAACGCCTGGCACACTTCCTAACACTTTTTGAATGTGACCAAAACAGGCTGGAATGGGCATTTCTAGTCCTCAAGAAAAGAAATTCCTATAAAGACTACAGTAATAATGCTGGCCTCTTCGAGGTTATATAAACAGCTTCTCTCCCTTTATTATGCACAAATTCAGATTGTTGTTTCTAACAATTTATCAACACGCATTTCCTAAATTATTTTCTGAATGTTTTATATTGGCAATGTAGTAGCAATCCATTTCTGGCAATAATACCCATTTGACCTCTGCTTAAACTGACATCAACCCTTCAAAAAGTCTAAAACATATGCTTTTAAAAGAACCCAATTTGTTTTCTGCAGTTATCAAAGAGCAAATCTGGGCCTTGGACAATGCATTTTATTCTCCATCTGTACATTTTAATATTACAGCTTATTAACCTCTAAAGAAAATATCTTTCAATTTCTGACCCACATCTCCAAGTTGCTGATTTAAAATAACTGATTAAAGACTTCTATCCAATTACTTAGAAAATGGATTCTCGCCGGGCGCGGTGGCTCAAGCCTGTAATCCCAGCACTTTGGGAGGCCGAGACGGGCGGATCACGAGGTCAGGAGATCGAGACCATCCTGGCGAACACGGTGAAACCCCGTCTCTACTAAAAATACAAAAAACTAGCCGGGCGAGGTGGCGGGTATCTGTAGTCCCAGCTACTCCGGAGGCTGAGGCAGGAGAATGACGTAAACCCGGGAGGCGGAGCTTGCAGTGAGCTGAGATCCGGCCACTGCAGTCCAGCCCGGGCTACAGAGCAAGACTCCGTCTCAAAAAAAAAAAAAAAAAAAAAAAAAAAAAAGAAAATGGATTCTCTTGACCCGTTCAGAAGTTCATTGAATCATCTTACTGACAGTCTTTGGAGCTTTGCTCCAAAGTGACTTTGCGGGAGCTCCAGTCACTTGTAACCGGAAGAAGTAAGTAACACACTGTAATTACAGTCCCAATTAAGAGACAAAAAATGAAGATAAAACTTGAGTTGTATTCTATTTTCAGAAACTTAACAGAAGACATAAGCTTTTCCTTAAGAAAATTTTTTTTTTAATAAAAAAAATTACTTCAGGGCCTGATATCTCATGGTGTTCTGTCAATTTCCTTGGGCCATTCAGTTTTGACTGAAACATCATTCCTAAGTACGTATGCTGCAATCTTCCATCACTTTATATATCACTTCCATCACTTTATACAAGATAAGCATTACCTTTGATTTTTCTTCATTTTCTCTATAAAATTCTGCCATCTGTTCCTCCTGCTCTTCAATAACATCCTTGAGTGTGTCTACTTGGTAGATCAAATTGTTCTTCTCATTGTCTAACTGTGCATTGGAAACCATGGCTTTCTTGTATTTTTCTTCCACTTCAGACAAAGATTCCTAAATGAGAGTTGAAGTCATCAGTCTGATATCTAAAATATGTTAATTGAATATATGCAATATAACAGGAAATTATAGCACTGCCACAAACACATAAAGATGCATTTTCATAAAATACAAGCGGTTTGGGGAAACTCCTTGTTTAGTAACATGCACGTGAAACAGGAAGACAATAATAAGCCAATAATGCCTTTATAAGAACAATATGTGCTGTTCCCCAAGAAAACAAAATTAAGCAGCAATATAGCCTCTGAAAGAAGAAAAGGAGTGCAAACAACATATATCTGTAAGAATCATAAAATGAAAAATCGTCAATATTTTCAGAAATTTTACTCTTATAATTTTAATAACAGACTGGTGTTCAGAATGCAGTGATACCACAAAATACAGCCTCTCTTTACATAAGTGGACTTCATACTCATTTGAATTTTGCCACTTTCTAGACAGTTGTTTTTAGTACTTTCCTGTTCTGCATAAAAATGCTAATGTAAAGGTAAATGTTTTTTTCTAGCAATTATCCAAATTTCAGTCATGTTTAAGCAATATAAAAATTAATATTAAAAAAACAGCTTGGCCAGGCACAGTGGCTCATCTCTGTAATCCCAGCACTTTGGGAGGTCAAGGTGGGTAGACTGCTTGAGCCCAGGAGCTCAAGACAAGCCTGGGCCACATGACAAAACCCTGTCTCTACAAAAAAAAATACAAAAATTAGCCAGACAGGGTGGCGCACACCTGTAGCCCCAGCTACTTGGGATGCTAGGTGGGAAGACTGATTGAGCCCAGGAGGTCAGGGCTGCAGTAAGCAGAGATCGTGCCACTGCACTCCAGCCTGGGTGACAGAGTGAGACCCTATCTCTATCAATCAATCAATAAAATAAAACAAAATAAAATAAAGAGTTTGATCTAATGCCACAGTTTTGATGTAAAAAAAAGAAAAGGTACCACAAAATGCCTGAAATGTTACATATCTCAAAATTTTCTGCCTAAAATAGCTCACATTTTTTGTGTGTGTAACTGTATCTACTTTGGTAATTACTACTGCCTAGTGACTTTTTTTAAAGCTAAAAAAAAAAATGTTTCACACAGGAAAAGTAATCATTTATGGAAATAAATTTTAAAACTACTAGTGTAAATGTTTTATGAAATGGAACTAAGAGCCCAGAACTTACATTTACAATCAGTTAATCTGGACAAAGGGATCCATGTAACTCAATGGGAAAAGAATGAATGGTATTGGGACAAGTGGATACCCACAAACAAAAGAATGAAGTTGGACTCCTACCTCACACCATACACAAAAATTAACTCACCAAGAGTCATAGATCTAAATGTAAGAGCTAAAACAATAAAACGCTTCAAAGAAAATATGGATAAATCTTCAAGACCTTGGGATAGGCAATGGTTTTTTAGATATACCAAAAGCACTATAAACTAGCCAGGCGTGGTACTTCACGCCTGTAATCCCGGTACTTTGGGAGGCTGAGGCAGGCAGATCACTTGAGGTCAGGAGTTCAAGACCAGCTTGACCAACATGGTGAAACCCTATCTCTACTAAAAATACAAAAATTAGCCAGGCATGGTGGTGGGTGCCTGTAATCTCAGCTACTCGGGAGGTTGAGGCAGGAGAATCACTTGAACCCAGGAGGTAGAGGTTGCAGTGAGCCAAGATCATGCCACTGCACCCCAGCCTGGTTAACAGAGTGAGACCCTGTCTCAAAAACAAACAAACAAAAAGCATTATAAACCAAAAAGAGACTTCACCCAAATATAAAACTTTTTTTCTTTTTTTTTTTTGAGATGGAGTCTCACACTGTTGCCCTGGCTGGAGTGCAATCGCACGATCTCGGCTCACTGCAACCTCCACCTCCTGGGTTTACACAATTCTCCTGCCTCAGCCTCCTGCAGAGCTGGAATTACAGGCGCACACCACCACACCCGGCTAATTTTTTGTATTTTTTAGTAGAGATGGGTTTCACTATGTTGGCTAGACTGGTCTCAAACTCCTGAACTCATGATCTGCCCACCTCAGCCTCCCAAAATGCTGGTATTACAGGTGTGAGCTACCACGCCTGGCCCAAATGTAAAACTTTTATGCTGCAAATGATATGATCAAGAAAGTAAAAAGATAACCCACAGAATGGGAGAAAATATTTATAAATCTTATATCTGATAAGGGACTTACATGCAGAATAATATATAAACAACTCTTACAACTCAACAATAAAAGACACACAAATCAATTTAAAAATGGGCAAGGACCTGGATATTTCTCCAAAGAGGATATGCAAATGGCAAATAAGCACAGGAAGACATGCTCAACATCATTAGTGATTAGGAAAATGCACATGAAAACCAAAATAAGATACCACTTCACATTCACTAGGATGGCTATAATCTATAATCAAAAACACAGAAGACAAGTGTTAGTAAGGATGTGGAGAAACTAGATCTCCCATACATTGCTGGTAGGAACATAAAATGGTGCAGCTACTTTGGAAAACAGTTTGACAATGCCTCAAAATGTTAAATATAGTGTTACCATATGACCCACCAATTCTATTCCTAGCAATCTACCAAAGAGAATTGAAAAGATATGTCTACACAAACACTTGTACACAAATGTTCACAGCAGCATTATTCATAATAGCCAGAAAAGTATGAACAACCAAAATGCCTATTAACTGACAAATGGATTAACAAAATGCAGCAAATCCATACAGTGGAATACTATCTAGCCATTAAAAAAAGACTGACAGATAATACGACATGGGTGAATATTGAATATATTATGCTAAATGAAAGCCAATCACAAAAGACCACATATTATATGATTCCATTTGTAATAAATCTCCAGAATAGGCGAATCTGCAGAGACAGAAAGTTAGTGATTGGGGTTTCTTTTCTGGGTGATGAAAATGTTCTAAAGATGGGTTGTGGTGCTAGTTGCACAACTCTGTGAGTATGCTAAAAACTACTGAATTATATATTTTAAATGGGTAAATTTTTATGGAATGTGAATTACATCTAAATAAAAATACAAACATACACACTTTTTTTTTTTTTTTTTTGGAGACAGGGTCTCACTCTGTCACCCAGGCTGGACTACTGTGGCACAATCTCAGCTATGCAGCTTCAACCTCCCCAGACTCAGGTGATTCTCCCATGTCAGCCTCCCAAGTAACTGGGACCACAGGCATGTGCTACCACACCTGGCTAATTTTTTGTAGAGACAAGGTTTCACCATGTTGCCCGGGTTGATCTCAAACTCCTGGTTTGCTCAAGTGATCCACTCGCTTTGGCCTCCAAAACTGGATTATAGGTATAAGTCACCATGTCCGGCCACACACACTTTTAATAATGCTTCATAAACCAGAATTAAGTTGTCAGGTAAGATTTAAACTATGATTAGAAACAAATTTAACCAAAACAAAGAATGTAAGCAAAGTCAATTATACAGTGCTCTAAATATATCTAAATGTATCTTACTATAATGCAGACTTTAAAATAATTCTCATCCATCTGAGAGGCTAATAGCAGAAAAAATATCAATATCAATAAAGCAAAAGTCTTCCTTGACAATGCTCTCTCCAGAGGCACAAGCGCTATTGGTTTGGCAGATTATCTTTCAGGCTATTTCCTATTTGTTTACAGTATAAAATATATACCCTTGACTTCATATATATTTTTAATACAAATTATATACTCTACATTTTGTTCTACAGTTTGCCTTTTTTCAATACATCTTGGAAAGTTTTCAGTCACTAGATATAGATTTACTATTGTTATTTATTGCTGTAACTCTACTTAAATTTAATAAGGTATTCATTTTAATAGTTTTTAAAATGGGTTAATGGGTTTAGTCGTTTGACTTACAAAATCATTAATCTTTTAAGAAATAGATCAGTTAAATTTTACAATTAATATTTTACTGCATTTTCTGGGTAACAGTGTACACTATATACTAGTACAGCATGGGCAAATGCTGTATTAGTAATAATAAACTTTCCCGATAAAAGGATGGAGGGGAGAGTGGTAGAGAACATCCCAAAGGCAAACATAGTTAAGAGTAATGTCACAAGCAATGAGCCAACATCCTTTTTCAATAGGATGCATCATCCCACCATGCTTGGTCACCAATCAGACAATCTTTTCTTTATTTTTATGGGTTTTTTTTCCACTTCAAGTGTCAAGGATAAATGTAATCTGAAGTCAAGTTCAATTATACTCTGGCATGAATTAGGAAAAGGGATCTCATCTGTTCAAATCTCAAATCTAATCTGTTCCTTTGTATTCGTCAAAGAATGCAATAAATGGTAGATCTAACATGAAAGGAAAAAAAGTTTTAAATAAAATAAAATGACAGTAAGAATGCCCCTGAATCACACAATTGCTTTCCTGATACACTGTTACACATGTGACTTTAATATAAGCATATTTATTTAATGTACCGATTTGTTTGATCCAAGGTATTTCCAAAAGTCGTATCTCTAAAACCTTAAAAGAGATTAAATCCTGAAGATTAAAGGAGTAAGATTAAATGAGAACATCAACTAATTCTGTAATTCTTCTGATATTTACCGACAAACTCATGCTGCCCTATCAGCAACTTGCAGGCTTCCCTCATGGGTACTTCCCATTGGACTTCTCACCTTTTTGGGTCCTGAGTCTTACTCTGTTTCTCATGAACCATATCACTTGCATGAAGAGTTTGGCTGATAGTGAGGCTACTCCAAATCATGCCAGGGAAGATGACAAAATCCTTGCCCATGAAGTCCATGCTTTGTCCTTTGGATATATCCTGAGTCATCTTCTAAATGTCTTGCTTTTTGTTTTTTTAGAGGTGTAGTGGGTATTTTGCTTTTTTGTTTTTTGTTTGTTTTGAGACAGAGTCTCGCTCTGTTGCCCAGGCTGGAGTGAAATGTCACCATCTCAGCTCACTGCAACCTCTACCTCCCAGGTTCAAGCAATTCTCCTGCCTCAGCCTCCCAAGTAGCTTGGATTACAGGCGCCTGCCACCATGCCAGGTGAATTTTTTGTATTTTTAGTACGGACAGGGTTTCGCCATGTTGGCCAGGCTGGTCTCAAACACCTGACCTCAGGTGATCCGCCTGCCTCGGCCTCCCAAAGTGCTGGAATTACAGGCGTGAGCCACCGTGCCTGGCCTGTAGTATGTATTTTGATTTCAAATCAGGACATACATGTGTTTAAATAAACTTCTGGTTTCTTCATAACACAAGGCTTGAACTTCAGAATGAAATGTGAGGAAAGAAGAGCATGATAACCAATGCTATTTACAACCAAACTGTCTGCCTCACACATTTACATTAAAAAATGTTAGTCATCCTTTCTGGGAAAAGATAAAGACCATTTACATTTACCTCCAAATTCTTTAAGGCACTAGATCTGTGTCATCATTTTTGACCTATAGGTTAAAAAAATCCAAGCCAAAAGAAAATATAGGCCTCATGTCTTCATGTTCCTTCCTCCAGGGGGGGATATTTATAATAATGGTGTCTCAGTTGCTACTTCCTCCCACATTTAATACTGACTGAGTTTGGTAACAGAAATATGCAACACTTTTTCATTTAGCATGGAAGAATTTTGGGGTCCAATTCTCAATAAAAATATTCTTAGTATTTTTTTAGGTGTTTGACCAATTTAATTTTGTATGGCTAAGACACAAGGGATATGCATGTACTTTACAAGGTTTTAAAATTGTAAAAGAGGCTGGGCGAGGTAGCTCATGCCTGTAATCCCAGCACTTTGGGAGGCCAAGGCAGGAGGATGGCTTCAGCCCAGGAGTTCGAGACCAGCCTGGGCAACATAGTGAGACCCTGTCTCTATAAGAAAAAATAAAAAAGAGAAAAAAAACTGCAAATGATATCTTCTGCTGAATACTTAAAAACTGTACTACACATTTAAACATAAGCAGAGATTGAAAGTTCACCATTCCTATGCACTGCAGGTTAAGCACATGCTTGAAAGACAAACACTGTTAGTAAAGCTATGTGCAGTTGGTTAATAGAACTTGCAAGGCCACCACTGCCAACACTTCTGCATACAGAGCATGCTTGGGCTGCAGAATGGGCCCTGATACCTTCAGTTCTTTAAGCCCCTGCATGTATCTCCCTTCTACATCCTGTATCTGGTCCTTAAGGTCATAGATATCCTGCAGGACATAGGAATGAACCATTGCATAAAACCATGCACAAACATATCTTAAATCACAAAGGATTCAGAAGAAATGTGACTCACTTTTGTATATTCCAGACTAAAAGCAGAGAAATCAAAGTACAAAAACATAACTCCCACTCCCAACCACTGAAAAGGGCAAATAGGTCAGGGGATAGTAGGACTGGGGGAAGGTCTAGAGTAATCAATCTAATGTTAAATATTTTCTTGGCATTAAATTCTGTTAATAACAGCATAGCAAACGGGGACAGGGCTATACATGGAGGAAAAAGCTATATAAATTATAATATTTAAAATCATACAACTTTTAATATTCTATAAATCACTTAAAATTTTTAGCATAATGCTTCACCTAGAACTAGTAAAATATACAGTAAATAAGAGACAGCAAATAACATTTAAAATCATACAACTTAATATTTTATAAATCACTTAAAATTTTTAACATAATGCTTCATCTAGAACTAGTAAAATATACAGTAAATTAATAAGGAGCCAATTTTAATGAATCATGCAAAAGTTTTTAAAAAATATAATAAATGAATATGAACAAAGTTTTCTTTCAATGACTTGGTTACTGGCCACAATTAACTTGAGAGAAAGGGAGTAAAGGAAAGGAAGTTAAACATTTTGAACAGAATGTCAAATGAGATATTCTATCCTGAGGATACCATTTAAATGATGAGAAAAGCACTTGCTCCAAATGTCACCATAATCCTTATAAGAAAAGTGAAACTGGTCAAATTTTAAATGGAAAATATTGTTTCCCTGTGCCTGACCTTGTTATATAAGGTCTATTCTGAGTGCTCGATTTATGTCTGAAATAACTGTACAGGGCCCTAAATACAATTCTGCAATTACAAGCAGGATCAATTATTAAAAGCTGATTATACACATTTTTGGTATTATACTTTCCCTGCCTCCTTCATTGCCTCTCCAATAGGTTTGACTGTCTTTTACTCATTGATTCATTCAATAGACATTTACGAAGGACCTATTAGGAGGCAGATGCTATGATACAAAAATAACACTTCCTTCAAGAAGGTCATTCTCTCAAGGAAGAAAAAACAAGTTGTTGACAAAAGCAAGCTAAGTCTAACGCTGGAAGGCCTTGTCCTCATATCCTTTTGTCCCATTAGAATGCAGCAGCTAATGGCAAGAGTTCATCTTATTCAACTTTCCACCTGGCACTTATGTCTGGTACACAGTAAGAGCTGTTAAGAGTTCAATTAATACTGACACCTTCAAACCAATGGCCATGCTGGCCTAGGTGCTCTCCTTCTCTGCCACTGTTGCAAGTCTCTCCATCCTCCCCAACCCCCTAACCCACTTTCATAAGTCAGACTCTTTTTCCAATCCTACCGACAATCTTTTTTTCTTTCTTTCTTTCTTTTTTTTTTTTTTTTTTGAGATGGAGTCTCGCACTGTCGCCCAGGCTGGAGTGCAATGGCGCGATCTCAGCTCACTGCAACCTCCACCTTCTGGGTTCAAGCGATTCTCCTGCCTCAGCCTCCCAAGTAGCTGTGATTACAGGTGCCTACCACCACGCCCAGCTAATTTTTTGTATTTTTAGTACAGACAAGGTTTCACTATGTTGGCCACGCTGGTCTCAAACTCCTGACCTTGTGATGCGTCTGCCTCGGCCTCCCAAAGTCCTGGGATTACAGGGGTGACAAATTTTTTTTAAAAGGCTAGTCAAGCGAAGCAATGAAGGTGGAGAAGGAACAAATAAATCTGTAACTGCTTGTGATCAATTACTTGTAAACACTACTGCACTCAGATGAGCCCCTACCTACAATCTCAGTCACCACCTGTCCTCTACCTCCCCTCCAGTGAAGAGGGGACCTCCAGTCCAGGCAAGCTCATCCATCTGAGTCCTGGACTCTCCTCTCACCCACTCAGGCACTTTGATCTGTCAGTTACCCCTCTCCTTCCTCAACCTTCATCTCTCTACTGGCTCAACCCAACCAAAGAAAATAATAATCGATCTCACCTTCAAAAGAAAGCTAAAAACCTTTTCTTAAATTTCTCTCTCCCTACCTATTGCCCAACCAATTCCCAGTCTCTCGTATTCACTCCAGAGCAAGTTTATCACATTTTCTCCCCTTGCAGTTTTGACTTGCTCACCTCATCCTCATTGTTGAACCACAGGGTAACTGCTCTTCTGGCCTGCAATGCTTCCTCTGACTGTGATCAAGTTATTTTTTAAGAATGCAAAGCAGATAGTGTTGCTCTCCTAGATAGATCCCATAATTGTCAGGGTAAAACTGAATTCGTTTCAGGCTAGCATATAAGATGCTTTGTGATTTGGCCCCCCACTACTTTTCCAGCCTTCTCTCTTACATGCTACTATTCTTCACTTCTCATCCTACCCTCTGGCAACTTTGCTATACAGGTAGCTTTCTGGGTTCTCCGAATGCATCTCCTTGAGAAAGCCTTTCCCCTTCAATTTCTTTGCTTGGTTAATTTTTATTTTTCCTTTAAACCTTAGCTCAGAGTTTGTCTTTTCTGAAAAGCTTTTTGTTATCTCTTCTCCTGGTCCAATTTAGATCATGCTTTTTTGAACTACCTTAACAGCCCCATTCTTGCTACTACCATTGTATAACACCACCTGGTTTTATTGGTTTGTATCAGTTTGTCTTCCCTATGAAACAGGGAAATCCTGAAGGCCAGAATGTATTTTGCCTCTTAAATCTCCAAGGCCAAGTGCTCAATAAATCTTGAGTGAACGAATGTATACAATTTCTCTTACTACCCCTTGCTTCACAAATAGCAAGTTCAGCAAATAAAATATATATTTTTTAAAGTACTCTTTTTCTAAGTAAAGGGGTTAATAAAGATGGAGACTTAATTAATGAGTCAAATAAGCTTTTCATTATCTCAGGTATTTCTGTTATCCAAATATTATTACACTTCTATTACTATGAAAAACTGAGAGATAACTATGTTCAAGCAGCTAAATACCATCAAGGCTCAAAAAACTAATAATTCCCACAATCTAGTTCTTTGTACACCCACATATTTTCCATTTAAAACATGGCCAGTTGTTTCTGAGAGAATTAATTTTACATACATTACAAAGTGGTTTTTTCTGGCATCTGTAAATTAGCAGAAACTCCAACACCATCAAATTTTCAGGAAAGAGGACAGAAAAAAGAATTAACTCATCTCCTTCCTTTCAAGCTCTGAAACACCTGAGTCACACTTTTGTACTGTACTTATTTTTTAATACAGAAATCATATTCCATCTTTCTACTAAGTCACATTAAAGGTTAAAAGTTCCAGTATATCACCAAGAAGTCAAAAAACTGCTTTTAAAAAGAAAACCAAAAATTTCAGTTTACCCGCAATTCACTTAATGAGGTGTCTGGATCTATTAAGCTGCTGGTGTCCCCACTTCCTCGTCTGGATGAGTTTCCACTTAGAGGGGTTGTTGCTGAGGCAGAATTTCGAGATGAAGGCTAGAAAGAGAAATATGACCCTTCTAAGTCTCATTTCTTTAAAAATATGTTTGTAGTGGAAACTAAAAACAGGGCAGGGTGGTTGGGGGAAGATGTGGGCTTCAGATGAAGAAATTACCATGTGTAATCAATGGTCAATTTAGATTGGCTTTGCAGGTATCCAGGTATCCAGAGAAGGGCCCAAGCATACTAAGCAAAATTTCATGAACACAAATACCTCATCAAAATCTGTAATTCATCATAACTACAAAGAAAATAGTTTTTATAAGGGTTATTTTCTAAGTTTATCTTTGCTATCCTGTAAACAATACTGAAGTGAGCACATCAGATTAACTTAAAGCAGTTTTAGCATTTTATAACTGATACACTAAACAGCACTTCCCCTTTTTAATTTCTGAACTGCTTATCAATCTCTTCTTTCTCTAATACTGTGTTGAGTTGATAAAGATGAAGATACTATTTGTAGCGGAGAGCAGCAACACTGGATATCACTATGAATGTAGACTGTTCTTCCCAAAATTCATTTAAACGTGAGATTATGCTATCGATTAATAAACTGCATGAATCTGTGCTGTCCAATATACTTGCGATTAGCCACATGCAGCTACTAACACTTGAAATGTGGTTAGTCCAAATTGATAGTTGCGTATAGGATACATCCCAGATTCTGAAGGCGTAGTGTAGAAAAACGAATGAAATATATCTCATTAACAATTTTATATTTATTATATTTATTTATTTATTTATTTATTTTGAGGTGGAGTCTCGCTCTGTTACCCAGGCTGGAGTGCAGTGGCACGATCTCAGCTCACTGCAACCTCTACCTCCCAGATTCATGCAATTCTCCTGCCTTAGCCTCCCAGACTGAGTAGCTGGGACAACAGGCATGCAAAACCATGACTGGCCAAGTGATACACCCACCTTGGCCTCCCAAAGTGTTGGGATTACAGGCATGAGCTACCTAGTCTGGTCTAGTAATTTTATATTGATTATATGTTGAAATAGTTTAGATATCTGGATTAAATAAAATATATTACCTAAATTAATTTTACCTGCTTTTTACTTTTTAAATGTGGCTACCAGAAAATTTAAACTTACATATAAGTTTGCACTTGGGGCTTGCATTACATTTCAACTGGACAGAGCTAATTTTTCTTGGGTATAGCATAAAATTAATCTTGATAAATCATCTCCCTGACTTTCTAAAAATACTTTCAGAAGAGACTTTAACACAAAGCAAATTCTAGAAAGGAGTTATTTTACTTCAAGAAACAATTTATATATAAAAGGAAAAAACATCTCAGAGTCTGCCACCATCATTCCTAAAGAAACTTCATTTTCAGTGTTTACTGGCTTCTTAGGATCAATTTCTAGAGGAATGAAAATCAAAAGAGCAGCCAAAAGCTAAAGAGGTGACATTCAAGGAAATAAAATGCAGTGCCTTTTCTCTTCCCAGGGCCTCACATGATTTAACTTCGAAGGAATTTTGGAGGGTCAAGGACAGGAAATAGATAAAGGGAGGAAAAGCAGCTACATCAGACCAATTGTTGTAATATAAATAATGAACAAGTTACAGATAGCAAGTTTAACTGACCTTGAGAATTTCCCTTAGGAATTTACATACTCACTCTTGTATAATTTTCGGCATACTGTTTGTCAGATTTTTCATCCAACTAGAAAAGAACAAAGATAAAAATCAGGAAAGATGCTTAGCAAGTTGATTTTTTTTAAGAGGAAAAAAAGTGATCTTGAGTTTTCCAAGTTCAATGATGTTTGAAGCCTAAAAATAAACATATTAAAAATGAAATAAAAATTCCAGTTTAACATAAGACAAAATGTTGGCAACTTTAATTTTTATCCTAAGGAAGACACTGAGTAAGCAATCTATGTTTACTCAAAAGTTTAGAACTTTTGGGTAAATTTTCTGTTTATGGTATTTAAAACACATTAAAGAAGGCTACATATAAAGTTTTAGCACTGCAAATGTTAATACAAAAAAACCTTGTACATATCAAAAAGAAAAGTCTGATAAAACCAAAAGTGATAAACCTTTATTTCTAAGCATTATTAGGACACAGGACACATAGATAAAGATTAGTACACTCAGTCAAGAAAGTTCAGATTGGATTAAAGCATGTTAAATATGTCACCAAAATATTTTTCCCCACATCAAGGATTTTTTGTTTTTTCAGTAATACATGCACATGTGACCAAAAAAAATCAAACAGCACAAAAGGGTATAAGTAGGGCTCTCTCCCTACCATGCCATACCCTGACCACCAGTCTCTAATAGCAACCAACCACAAAGTCTTTAAAAAATTCTATTAAGTGTCCCATATGTGTTCTACACCTTCTTTTTCCCCTTACCAAGTCTCAGAGATTTGAGAAAGTACTTCATCTTTCTTCATAGCATTTATCACTCCCTGACACTATGGTATTTATCCATTTATTTATTGTCTGCTGTCTTTCTAAAATGTAAGCTCTATATCAGTATGTTCTTTTTTGCACTCCTAGTATCAAGAATAGTGTCTGGCATACAGAAGGGCTCAAAATTTGTTGGATGAATGAATAAATCATACCCCATCTATACTAATAGACTTCCCTCATTTATTTTAAACAGCTTCATAGTAGCCTGTTATCTCAACTTGCCATAATTAAGTTAACCTATCTTCTGTGGTAGGCCTTAAGGTTGTTTCAGACAGTGTTTCAAGAAGGGAAGTACCTTAAAAGTCTAGTCCAAACCCTGAGTTTTACAGCTAAGGAAAAAGAAATTGAGAGGTGAAAGATTTTGCTGAAGGTTGCAGAGCTGAATCCAACCCTTAGTTTTGTAAATTTTCAATTCAGTGTTCATATTGTTTACCTGAATATATATGCTATTCCAATTATCACCAGGAGAAAAAAGGCACATAGGGATGTAACTAAATGAAAATAACTCCAACTCTGACACAAACCTTCTAGGCCCAATCTAGAGAAGAGATCTGAAAACATTTCTCAGTTAATTATTAAAACATGAAACATCATTTCTAGTTCTACTCAGATCACTTCACCCTAACTTCCACATATTTGAAAGTTTTTAGTGTTCTTTTTATTACCCACACTTATGTTTATAAATATTCTTTATTATGATGATAGTAATACATCAGTAATATAAACACTATTTTTAGACATTTAACTCTTTGTTACTTCATGCTGTAAAAACTCTGAAAAACTAATTTTAGTTCATTTTGATTTTTAAAACAACATACAAATGTTTCAGCGATTGAAATGGTTTTTTGGGTTTTTTTTAAAATTTTTTTCTTTTTTTTTTTGAGACAGAGTCTCACTCTGTCATCCAGGCTGGAGTGCAATGGTGCGATCTTGGCTCACTGCAACCTCTGCCTCCCAGGTTCAAGCTACTCTCCTTGCCTCAGCCTCCCAAGTCACTGGGATTACAGGCACCCATCATCATGACCGGCTAATTTTTTTTGTATTTTTAGAAGAGATGGGGTTTCACCACGTTGGCCAGGCTGGTCTCAAAATCCTGACCTCAAGTGATCCGCCTGCCTCAGCCTCCCAAAGTGCTGGGATTATATGTATGAGCCACCATGCCTGTCCTAAAATTTGTTTTTAAATACTATATTGGTAATTATTGCCATAAAAAGGAATAATCCTTTTACACATCTATACTGCATTGCCCAATATTTAATGTATTATTCTTCAAGATGAAAGAAATATTATATTTGAATAAACTGCCTTATTTTCCTGAGTATTTTCCAAGTCTTTTCTGCTAATGTGTTAAAGAGAAAAGCACATAGCATTCAAAGTTAAAAGTCTTCTAAGCTTATTTGAAATCCTTCCTCAAACCCACTTCTCACAAAACTGACCTCCAAACTCACCCAGTTTTTAACAGACTGTCCCTGGAATAATCTTACATTTCAGAGGTTGCATCACTGAACTAATCCATCACAATGTTGACTCTATTGCTTTCACTGTCTTCTGAGAGATCCCAACTGTCGCAACTCAAACTGATCACGCACCAAACCTCAGAGACTGTCAAGCCAGCAAAAATCACCCAAAGCAACCATGTCACAGTTCTCTTATTTTGGCTATACTAACTTGGCCAGTTCTCACTTCTGAGACTTGTACTATATTGCAGGCTGTCTTCTATTTAGACAAAAACCTAGTTGAAACTTGGTATTCTAAAAGCCCAATAGGATCCAACAGCCAAGAGTTCTATGTGGCTGCAATGTAATAACAAGCTAATGTTCATAATGATGATCCAGAGTCTGCCAGATCCAGAAAAAAGCTTTTTAAACGGAATAATATTTAATCATATTTAATATATTAACATGTAAAACTGTAGTTTAATAAAGTATTTACAGTGCAGTTTCTTCAATGCAGTCATTGGGTCTTGATCCTTCGTTAATTTCTAATTTATATACATACTAACTTGATAAAGCTACTCAAAAATTGTTTGAAAAAATACCTGAGTCCACAACCACAGAAGGGAAGACATCAATCAATTTTAACAATTCCCTAAAGCAAAACTGGCTAAGGATTCCATTTAGAAATGGGTTTAATTATTAACAATCAGCAAAATTTCAGTTTTAATTAAAACACATTTACATTTGTTTGCTTTATTGTAGCCTGACTTACAAAACAGAAACAAAGCCAATGCAGAAGAAAATTAGAGGCTAGAGGCCGGGCGCGGTGGCTCAAGCCTGTAATCCCAGCACTTTGGGAGGCCGAGACGGGCGGATCACGAGGTCAAGAGATCGAGACCATCCTGGTTAACACGGTGAAACCCCGTCTCCACTAAAAAATACAAAAAACTAGCCGGGCGTGATGGCGGGCGCCTGTAGTCCCAGCTACTCGGGAGGCTGAGGCAGGAGAATGGCGTGAACCCGGAAGGCGGAGCTTGCAGTGAGCTGAGATCTGGCCACTGCACTCCAGCCTGGGCGACAAAGCGAGGCTCTGCCTCAAAAAAAAAAAAAAAAAAAAAAAAAAAGAAAATTAGAGGCTAGAGCCACCAAAAATATTATATAGGCTTGCAGAATCATGACCTGGCACCCTTTCTCAGCACCTCCTAGCTCAGAAGTTATAAACTATCAGCCTACAAACATATTTAGTACACAATGAGGTAACCAGAAAATGTCTTTTAAAATTCTGAATTCGTTGCCAGCATTTAAAAATCATATTTCATGTTGAAGTATTTCCAGGTCATCTTTTTTTGAAAGTGGGAGGGAAGGGAGGTCTACCAACATGAAGTCCCCTTTGTATTCATCTACAAGATGAGCTGGACTACAGCATACTCTTTAAAAGAAATACTACTAGAGAAAGTTACTTGCTCCAGAGAGAGGCCCAAAAATACTGTATGCTTTGCCAGGAGGCAAAATTAAGGATAAGGTACTTATATATAACCATTTAAAAATATACAAATTGCCTGTAATCCCAGTGCTTTGAGAGACTGAGGCAGGAAGGTCACTTGAGCCCAAGAGTTTGAGATTGCAGTGAGCTATGATGGCTCCACTGCACTCCAGCCTGCAAGACAGAGCAAGACCCTGTCTCTTTAAATATATATATAATGTATGTGTATATATATGTATACATACATATATGTATACATATGTGTGCGTCTGTGTGTGTGTGGATACACACATACATATAAATAAACCAGTGGCTTGCAGACTATAAAATAACAGGGGTTAGCCAGATTTGTAAATCCCTGCTCTAGAGAACTTTACCTTATGTTAAAGAGTTATAGTTAACTAGTAGGGGCAGGGGGAGATTTTTTAAACTGTCAGCATTTTCACTTATATGTAATTACTAAAGTAAATCATCACAAAATAAATGTAAGGAAGACATAACTATTAATTCAGATATTATAAATTAAGAGGCTGACAGAATTCAGTTTTTAAGAGAACAGATGTAAACAATAAGTTTAATTGTCCATACTTACAGGGGAAAAAAGGGGATTACTAGCCAATTTAATAATAAGGGCAATATTTCAGGGGAATGGCTTGGAAACCAGTCTTCTAACTTTGTATGCAGAGAGAGTTATTGATTAGATCCACACCAAGATGATACTGTTGCATAGCCAGATTTGAGAACCAATGATCTGGAATGCTTAAGAACCACACATAAAATTATCTTCTAGAATTAAAATAGTTCAGAAATTGCTATTTAAATACCATCAGTGAAATGCTAATTATAAATAATTATTTCTTCATTTAAAAACTACTGTCTAATGTTTCTATTAAGAAATGTTTGCTGGGTGCAGTGGCTCATGCATGTAATCTCAGCACTTTGGGAGGCTGAGACGGGTGGATCATGAGGTTAGGAGTTCAAGACCAGCCTGGCCAAGATGGTGAAATCCTGTCTCTACTAAAAATACAAAAAATTAGCCAGGTGCGGTGGCAGGTGCCTATAATCCCAGCTACTCGGGAGGCTAAGGCAGGAGAATCGCTTGAACTCAGAGGGTGGGGGTTTCAGTGAGCCGAAATTATGCCACTGCATGCCAGCCTAGGCAACAGAGTGAGACTTTGTCTCAAAAAAAAAAAAAAAAAAAAAGAAATGTTGGCCAGAAGTGATGGCTCACGCCTGTAATCCCAACACTTTGGGAGGCTGAGGCAGGTGGATTGCTTGAGGTCAGGAATTCGAGACCAGCCTAGGCAAGACAGCAAAACCCTGGCTCTACAAAAAATATAAAAATTAGCTGGGCACGATGACACACACTTGTAGTCCCAGCTACTTCGGAGGTTGAAGGGGGAGGATCACTTGAGCCCAGGAATTTGAAGCTGCAGAGAGCCGTGATCGCACTGCTGTACTCCAGCCTGGGCAACAGGTCTCAACCCTGTCACCAAGAAAAAAAAAGAAGAAAGGAAAGAAAGGAAAGAAAGGGAGGAAAGGGAGGAGAGGGGAGGGGAGGGGAGGGGAGAGGAGGAAGAAGAAAGAAAGAAAAGAAAAGAAAAGAAAAGAAAAGAAAAGAAAAGAAAAGAAAAGAAAAGAAAAGAAAAGAAGGAAGGAAGGAAGGAAGGAAGGAAGGAAGGAAGGAAGGAAGGAAAGAAAGAAAGAAAAAGAAAGAAAGAAAGAAAGAAAGAAAGAAAGAAAGAAAGAAAGAAAGAAAGAAAGAAAGAAAGAAAGAAAGAAAGAAAGAAGGCACCTCTCACCCCCTCCAAAGTGCTTGACAATCAGTACAGTCAGTATAGCCTTGGTCCATTGGCAAAACAACACAAAGCCAGCAAGAGGAGAAGCGTCAGAGAGATAATCAGGCTGTTATTTTGAGATGAGCAGGTAGATCCTAAGTTGTTGGCTGGAGTTCATTCATTAAGACAAATGCCTGAAGGACAACCTTTCCTAAATTCAGTTCCTGATGAATATGGAAGCAATGGATAGGCACACTTCTTCAGAACAATGCCATAATCCAAATATTTAAAATATATTCAGATTCTTCCTGGTTAGTACAAATTAGTGACACTTTACTAAGTGGTATATTTCATTATTCAACTTTCTAAGTCTACCTATCACTTTATAGATTCACTAAAATCAAAAAGGAAAATAATTTTTTTAACCAATAAAGAATGTCTGAATAAGGGTTAGGTATTAGATGATACTAAGGAATTACTTATTTCATTAGTGATGATAATGATATAAGAGATCTGAAAAAATGTTCAGTTACAGATACGTATTAAACTATTTATTGAGAAATGACATGACGTGGAATTTGCTTTACAATAATTCAAGGAAAAAAGGAGGGAAGGGGGACGAAATTAATGAAACAAAATTGGCAAAATATTGATAATTATTGCAGATGCTGATGGGTTCTATGTGGAGATTTTTCCATAGAGGGGGAAAAAGTTTTTTTAAGAAAGGACATATTAATAAATACATTCCAAAACAGAGCAAATGTATTTGATTTTAACATGTTCAAACAATTCTTTCTTTCTTTTTTTTTTTTTTGAGATGAAGTCTCGCTCTGTTGCCCAGGATACAGTGCAGTGGCATGGTCTCGGCTCACTGCAACCTCCACCTCCTGGGTTCAAGCAATTCTCCCGCCTCAGCCTCCAGAGTAGCTGGGATTACAGGTGTGAGCCCCACACATAGCTAATTTTTTTGTATTTTTAGTACAGACAGGGTTTCACCACGTTGGCCAGGCTGGTCTCGAACTCCTGACCTCCGGTGATCCGCCTGCTTCGGCCTCTCAAAGTGCTGGAAATACAAGCGTGAGCCACCGTGCCCGGCCCAAACAAATATTTCTTAAGACAATAAATCAAGTTCCCACTTTTATTATAAAATAGCTAACATATTAGCTGTTAGTCACAAGCCTGGGACAACATAACCAACCACCCCATGCAATACACTCACGCTGGACAAATCTGGGATACTGATGTCATCCACCTCGGAGACAACACTTCCCCTACGATTGGAGCGACTGAAATAATCGGCGGCAGAAACCTTTCAGTCAGAAAAAAAAATGAGATGCTTTAAAAGTTAAGAAAAAAAGAAAGAAAAAAAATAAGAACATTGGACAATTAGAGAAAGGCTTTTTAAAATTTTGATGTGTGATAAAGTATCAAGAAATAAAATGAGGAAACTGCTGCAATTAACCTACTCAAAAAAATAAAGAAAAGGGGTTCCTAAATGAAATCACAGCTCTACAATCAGCTTTTTTACTCATCTTAACTAGAGTCCTATGCTACAGAGAACATTTACTTCCTGAGGACCAGCAAATCTCTCATGTTTAAGATACTCATCACCCTGAACAGAAGCATTTCGAGGTTAGTATCTACCTCTACTATAATTCTCAAAATTTATAATTCATTATAGCTATCAATTCTGTTAAGAATATATATGCTGAATGCAGAATTATTTGCAGGGTGTTTACTGCACCTTTTCTCAGTTTACACAGTTCCCTCTTTTTCATATTCCCAAAGACCAGGAAATGTAGGACAAAATAAAGAACGAAATGAACTATACTGGCCTCTTTTTGGTTCCCCAAACACACCAGTTCTCCCTCACCTTAGGCCTTGGCACTGGCCTAGAATGCTCCTCTCCCAGCTCTTCAAGCAACTGGCTCCTCACATTTCAGGTCTCAGCTCAATGGTCAGTTTCTCAAAGAAGCATCTCTAATCACCCCATCCAAAGGGTCACCCACATACATACCGGCCCCTCCATGTTCCCTATCACATTACCTGTTCTCTTCACACTCCCTGACATTTCTTTCTTTTTCTTTCTTTACTAGCTTATTTTCCATCTCTTTCACTAGGATATAAACTCCATAAAGTCAGAAATCTAGTCTGACTGGCTTAAAATAGTATTCCTAGCACTCAACACAGGGCTTTGAATGCAACAGGCACTCCACAAACATTTATTTAATTTTAAAGTAAGTGATTTTTTTTTTTTTTTACCTCATTCATTATCTATTCCTTACTTCAGCTGACTGTTTGCCTTGCTTTAAAATATTTCTCAAGGGGCGTGCTGCTGGGAGTTGCTTGGAGGTTGGCGGCGCGGGGCTGAAGGCTAGCAAACCGAGCGATCATGTCGCACAAACAGATTTACTATTCGGACAAATACGACGACGAGGAGTTTCAGTATCGACATGTCATGCTGCCCAAGGACATAGCCAAGCTGGTCCCTAAAACTCATTTGATGTCTGAATCTGAATGGAGGAATCTTGGCGTTCAGCAGAGTCAGGGATGGGTCCATTATATGATCCATGAACCAGAACCTCACATCTTGCTGTTCCGGCGCCCACTACCCAAGAAGCGAAAGAAATGAAGCTGGCAAGCTACTTTTCAGCCTCAAGCTTTACACAGCTGTCCTTACTTCCTAACATCTTTCTGATAATATTATTATGTTGCCTTCTTGTTTCTCACTTTGATATTTAAAAGATGTTCAATACACTGTTTGAATGTACTGGTAAAAAAAAAAAAAAAAAAAAATTTCTCCAGGAAGGGAATTCAGAAGCCCATCCAAGAGATAAAACAGGCTTACAAGTATGAAGTTTTGCTAATAACCAATACAATCAAGCAATGGTATTTTTATACACAGTAATAATAACTTGCATTTATAGATACTAATATTTATTGGCACCTATCTGAGAATTTTGATAGGTATTTTCTATATAGTATTCCATTTAATCCATATATTAAGCTTACCTACAAAGATAGTACTAACATCCCCAACGTACAAATAAAGACACTGCCATTTACACACTAATAGGTAGTAGAAGTGGATACAAGCCCAAACATCATTATTTAGAGTCCCTGCCCTTTCCACTCCACTGCATTCCAAGGTGTTTTTAGGTATTGTGGTATATTATTTCTCCTTCAATTGTAAGCATGATCATTAGCTGGTTTGCTAAGGAACTACAACTGCTTTAATTAAATAAATGAATTTTGGTAACAAATCTCTCCAACATTTAATGTTCCCCTTCTCTATGAAAACTCGGGTTTATAATCTTTCACATAACGTAACTCATGTTAAATGGCCTATGTTTCTTTAAGGAATTACAGCCTCTTATGCTCTTTATTCTAGCTCTAAGCTGACATACCATCCTCAACAATGTATTTTCCAAACCAATTTCTTAAATATAACTAAAATGTCATCAGTTTTCTGTAAAATTTCCAGCTTCATTAAAGAATAACCTGAAATTATATCATTTGTATTCTAATATAGCTATTTGTTGCCTCTACAATTATTATCCAATTGAATGTCTAAGACTAGAATTTTTAAATTTTGTCATCAGCAATTCTTAAATTCACCAGCTTTTTTTTTTTTGAGAGGCAGAGGCTCATTTTGCTCACCACGCTGGAGTGCAGTGATGCAGTCATAGCTTACTGCAGGCTCAAACTCCTGGGCTCAAGCAATCCTCCCACCTCAGTCTCCCACGTAGCTGGGATTATAAGCATGAGCCACCATGCCTGGATTACAGGTCTTAACAGATGGATAAACATCGATTAAATCTAAATACAACAATATAGAAAGCAATTAATGGTAACATGATTTGTAATCCATAGTTATGAGTTTTATACAATATGGAAACATTAATTTTGCTGAAGAAATTTGTCTTTGGTGAACTGCACACACATGTGCATAAAACAGCAACAAAGAATAACCAGTAAAAACTTTTCAAATAATGACTCACTCCTAAGAGATGTAAAAAGACAAGTTATTAATGAAAGCTTGCACAGCCCACAGAGAATGTGTGTTCTCAACATGTTTTATAAGGCAAATTATTTATATAACTAAATTTGAGGAAAATGCTCTTATTGTCAAATGCAAATTTCACTTTACAACAGATTTCACATGAGCATGCATTGTTGTTATTTAAAACTCATCTTATTTCTTTGCATGCAAATCACGCTCACCACACTCTCCCTTTGTCCATGACTGGCACAATCAGAAGACACAATGCTTGCGGTGTCATCATTGGTAAACTATAGATATTAAATGCAGATAATGACAAATATGCAATTTTGCTATGGTGTTACCTCATTATAAGCACATTAAGGAAGGTTTTGAGATGCATATGAATAATGATATAAGCAGCATAATTGGTATAATCTATTGTGCACCCTATATATTAATAGAAAAGTTGGTACAAGGCATAATAAACTGCTATTAAAAATCAGGAGACATTTCCAAAAAGCACAAATAAAGTAAAACCTTACATTTTATTTAAGTTAAATTAAAGAAAGCCAGGTGCGGGGGCTCACACCTGTAATCCCAGCACTTTGGGAGGCCAAGGCGGGTGGATTGCTTGAGGTCAGGAGTTCAAGACGAATCTGACCAACATGGTGAAACCCCGTCTCTACTAAAAATACAGAAATTAGCCAGGCATAGTGGCAGATGCCTGTAATCCCAGCTACTCGGGAGGCTGAGGCAGGAGAATCGCTGGAACCCAGGAGGCGGAGGTTGCAGTGAGCCGAGATTATGCCACTGCACCCCAGCCTGGGTAACAGAGCAAGACTCCATCTCAAAAAATTAAAGAAGGGGAGGTGTATAAGTAAGCCAACTGAAACCAGCTAGGGATTTCATACTTTTAAACCTCTGGGCCCTTTGTGATCCTATCAGGGGTCAATAAATATACTTAATGTTTTTGCTTGAGAGAGAAAATAAAATAATATTTTAAAGCGAAACAATGTAAGTCAATGACAGAAATTCCTACAACAGGGACAACGAAGTGATGGTTCTTATTTTCCTTTATTCATTACTATGCAACTAGTGGAGATGTTGCTAACATCACCCTACATGGCTCTGTCATCTTCTTGCTTTACCAGCCAAAGACTCATCTTCAGTATGTGTAGTTTATCTCCATTCTAACATCACTAAGAAACCATTCTGGCATCACTAAAATAGTTATTCTGACCCCAACCTGCAAATGAAATAGGATCTAGCCAGCCTATAAGGACAAGATCCTACAAGTGAATGAAAATATAAGCTGGGTACAGTAATACACACCTGCAGTCCCAGCTACTGAGGAGGCTGAGGCAGGAGGATTACTTGAGCTCCAGAGTTTGAATCCAGCAGGGGCCACATAGAAAGCTACCCTCTCTAAATAAAAACTAAAATTAGGCCAGGCATGGTGGCTCATGCCTGTAATCCCAGCACTTTGGGAGGCCGAGGTGGGTGGACCACCTGAGGTCGGAAGTTTGAGACCAGCCTGGTCAACATGGTGAAACTTGGGAGGCTGAGGTGGGAGAATTGCTTGAACCTGGAAGGCGGAGGCTGCAGTGAGCCAAAATCACACCACTGCACTTCAGAGACTGGGTGACAGAGCGAGACTCTGTCTCTAAAGAAAAATATATACATATTAAAATTTTAAAAATTATGTGTGTATGTGTATAAAATCAAATTTTATTTGCAAGTGACCACCACACTCAGGAAACTAAAAATGCTACCAGGTCCAATAATTGCCAAGTGGAATTTTATTACAGGGTAGGTTAGAAGTGAACTTCCTTCTTACGTGAAAAAAGTTCTTACCTTCTTAAACATCCCTGTGTAACTTTTGTTAAATACAGCAGTGGCATTTTTAAGCAGTGCCGCTTGGAAATGGTAGAACTGAGACAAACATATATGTAAAAGAAAACCCATATAGCTCACCTATTCCACTTCACAAATTAACCTTTGATGACCTTTAAAAAATTGCTTTAATTATTTCTCTAGTTTTGACATTATCAAGGATAACAAGGTAGCTCGTAAAGTCATCATTTGCCATTAGGAATGTAAATCAGTACAGTCCTTTTGGTAGACAACATGGTACTTTACATCATAATTCAAATGCATATCCTCTTTGACCCCATCATTTCATGATTCACAATTTACCTTGCAGATTTACCCATGTAAGTACACAAAAATATACTTGGATAAGAATGGTCATTGTGTAAGTGTCTATAGTAGCAAAAATATGACAATCTAATGTCCATCACAGGGAAATGACTTTTTATTTTTTTTTGAGATGGAGTTTTGTTCTTGTTGCCCAGGCTGGAGTGCAATGGCACGATCTTGGCTCACCGCAGCCTCTGCCTCTGGGGTTCAAGCGATTCTCCTGCCTCAGCCTCCCAAGTAGCTGGGATTACAGGCATGTGCCACCACACCCGGCTAATTGTGTATTTTTAGTAGAGGTGGGGTTTCACCATGTTGGTCAGGCTGGTCTTGAACCCCCGACCTCAGGTGCTCTGCCCGCCTCGGCCTCCCATAGTGCTGGGATTATAGGTGTGAGCCACCATGCCCAGCCAGGAAATGACTTTTAAAATGTATACTTATGCACTAACGGAATATATTGCCATTAAAAAGAATGTGCTAATATGAAACTATCTCTAAGAGACATGAAGTGGAAAAACTAAGGGACACGGCTTACTTGTTGAAAATTTTTATCAAAAAAAGAAAGAATGAAATAAATTTATAGGTGCTGATACAGAAAGCTACTTTAAAGAAAGAAAATATATTGAGGAGCAATATGTAATATGAACCTATTTGCACTCAAAATAAAGAGCACTCATATATGCATAAAATATCTATGAAAGGTTATTGAAGAACAGAGATTATATTTGGGGAAGGAAAATGGGGAAGGAGGGGTCTGGGGAATATTACTTTGAATTTTCCTTAACTAATATTATTTTTACAAATTTTAAAAAATACTCCAGAAAGATTAGGTAATTATAATTGTCCCAGTTTTGTCTTTTGTATAATATATTTTTTTAATCAGTTTGTTTTATTTCTTCTCCTTTCACTGCACTGATAGAAGTGCTAGCAAGCAGGTGAAATGGCTGAATGTGCAGAATGTAAAGATGGAAAGGAGAAACACAGGATAGTCAACCTATACACTGAATTATCACCACTGAAAGACAAGAAGTTCTACACAAATGAAAATTAAATATAAAAACTTAAAAAATTCTAATGGCACTGGTTAGAGACTCGTTTAAGAAATTACATGCTAAGTCACATTTATACAGAAATTACCAATTATTAGGACAAATTAGTGCTTGAGTTTATGTACTAAGGGAACACCTAATCCATACACAATAAAGTGAATCACACCATATCCTCAATATTCTAAACAGTGAGTACAAATTAATGCAACAATCAAAAATTTCTACAAAGCATGCAGAGACTAGACAGCTCACCACTGGACTGCTTCGGGCTGAACTTGTTCTTGATGAGTAATAACTGCATTCAGATGGCTATAAAGTTTCCAAGAAGAAAGGTTTTACAACAATGAACACCTCATTTTTCTAATGAGAATACATTAAGGATCATGGACCTAACTTGCCCCTGGTTCTCAAGATAAAGTTAACTATTATTCAGTGGTCTAGAACTCTACCTCATCCCCACCCTCAAGATCGACCCGCCCTTGGCTAGAGGGAGAGAAGAAGAAGGGGATGCCCTGAGAAGTGCTGCTCAGAACTTCTTCAGGAGGAACTAATGAACAAGAAAAGTGGTTTTTCTATGTATTTCCCTAATACTTGAAGCCATGATTTCCAGCAGGCATTTTATCACGGCTTGGGTGAGAGTCACAACTGGCTAGCTGAATGACTTGATCACAGCTTAGAGAGTAATTATAGGTCAGATTAAATAACTTTTTCTTTGTGTATTCCTTTTTTTTTTTTAATTTTTGACTTTTTCTTTGAAAGTAAACTGTGCCCACCCACATTTCCCTCCTCCTCACCACCTTCCCCTATTTAGACTTACAGTTCGAGAACCATAAGGGTTATATAATCCACCATTGTACAATGACGCCTAAGGAACAAAGGAAATATTACTTAGCTATTTAGCATCAAGGTTGTTTTGAAAATGACTTAATGTTTTCACAATACTCGGTACCAAAAAAGTTTTGGAGAATGATATAAGTGTATAGCTTCCCAAAGTGAAAACCCTGAGGGCGGTAATACTCATTTATATGCATAAATTGCTATCAACTTTACACTTCATTTTTTAAAAAACTACCCCGGGTTACAGTATTTTCTTTCACCATCATGTTATGAAACTGGGAGAATTAACACGTATAAATGTATTTCCTCAAAAGAGGAAACAGAGCAGGAAAGGAAACTGAGGTACAAAGAGTATTTTGCCCACTACAACAATAAAATTAAGTTATAAAACCTCAGGATCCCAGTCCACTAGAACAGGCCACAACACAACAAACAGCTTGAAAGCAACAAACTCACAGCTCACACATTACACAGAGCTATTGCTTTTACTGTTCTAGTCAGCTTGCTTTATTAGATCCTAATATCAGAGGCCAAGATCATAACTGTCCCAAAGAAAAACAACATCCTTTCCATAAGCAGCCATCTCACAAAAGTATGTGAGTGTGGTGGGACTCAAGCAAATCTACCTTCTCTATGAGAAAGCTGATTCTAAGCAAGGGCTACCAACAGCCCTCTGTGAAGGGAATATGCTCATTTTTAACAGCCTGAAGTTTTATATTTTAAGCACAGGCAGCACAGTCTGAAGTACACATGACATTAAAATCATGTGTCCTTAACTATTTTGGAGAAAAGCTGTCAAGCCACAGAGTTAGCACCATGACATTGACCCCACCAGCACTGCACACACTGGAAGAGGAAAATACAAACCAGACTGGCACTTCTCAGCAGACCAGAATTTGCAGTAGAAGAGGCCTAAGAAAAAAGTGCATTATTAAACCCGAAAAAAAGCAACTGGTAGCTCTGAAGGCAGAAAATTCCTCAGAAAGTACTAACCCTGTCACTCTTATATGTTGCCAGAGGGTCACTGTACAGGGAAGAAGACTGCTAAGAGACAAAAACAAAATAAATAAGCAAAAACAAAAAACAAAGATGAATTGGTCTCACCATCACAAATGCAGAGGATTTAAGTTTATGATTTTATACTCCATAATTCATTAGCAATTCCTGAGTGCTTAAGGTAGTTAAGAAACACAAGAAATAAGAAAAACTTAAGTCATTAGAAACTGTTTTGAATATCAATTGTAAAGGATAAGAAAGAAAAACAGTTGGAACAGTTTTCTATAAATTATAAATATGTTTATGTCCTATTGGTCTTCAAGCATTATTGTTAGGATATGGAATGGTAAGTAAGAAAACACTGAGGGAAAGAGGGCCATGGCACTGGAAGTGTGGCAAAGAGTGGCCACATCCCACTCACCCAGTTCCTATGATATTTTCAGTGATTTTATGACCAACTCCTAATTGGCTTAGACTGATTTTTGGAGAACCAGATAAATAAGCTCCAAGTTAGCGCTACAAACACTCTTTTCCATATAGATTAGACAACCTGTTCTTCAAAACAAGCCATTGACAAAGTGCCTTAGTTGAATTAGATAAATTGTACTAGTCAATGAATACATGCACTAAAAGGACACAGCATGTTTTTAAAGGAATTAAATCTTGCTTTTCCTGATGTCACCTGAGGACATACTTTTCAAGTTCTTTTTCACCAAACCCAATCAGAGATGAAAAATAAGAGTACTTAAGTTGTGTGTGCAGGTTTTTTAAACAAAATTATTTTAAATGTACTGTGTGCCATACATTTAATGTGTCTTAAATGTATGATGTGTCAAATGTCTTTTAAAAAACAGGAGATTCTAACATTAAATAACTACATTCTTCTCATGCCACATGTAGTTTACATTTTTATATATAAGCTTTTTTAAAAGGGTACCCACTCTGAAGTATATGGAAGCTTACAACTTATTTTGAAATGCATCAAAAACTAAGATGAATTGATGGTTAGAGGGACAAATAGATACTTATGTGATAAAGGAAATATAATGAATTATATAATCTAAATGACAAGTATGTGATATTCACTATATTAGTCTTTGAACTTTTTGTACATTTAAACATTTTCATTAAAAAATTTTTTAATGGTACTGATTTATAAACATGATGATTCAATAGTTCCCGTTGTTTAAAGAGACTCCCACAGACTATATAAATTCAGTTACCAAAAACTAGTATATACGTAGCCATTTACAGATTATTTACAGCTAGTCAAAATGCAAAACAGGGAGATTAGAAAACACATAAAGCCAAAAAACTTTAGACAAACCCGAGTGTAGTAGGCAGAGGTGGGTTTGCTATGTCTAAGACTGCTATAGTTTCTCTGGTCAAAGTAGAGGCCACTCTGCAAAAAGCAAAATTAAACACATTTTTCTTAGGTTAAATGTTAATAACCTAACAACACACAAAGGTAAAACTGAACACACAAAGGCAAAATATGATATTGCCAAATCCCTTCTTCTCTACAATAATGTTTTTAAATCATCATATCACATTAAGTCAAAGTAACAATTATTTCAAGCCCCTAAAACAAAGATATTATTAACTTTTTAAATTTAAAAACAAGACAATAAACTCTCAGACAAAATGAAATGAAAACAATTTATTCTCTTGCCATTCTTAAGCATGTCCTTGAACACTCCTGGACCACTGAATAATTACCAGTTTTACAATCCATCTGGCAAAGCCACAGAAGTGGTTAAAGAGCTATGTATTTGGTTCCAAACATTTCCTAGTCCCATTACTTGTCAAAATAAACTGACAAATAACCAAAACGAAAGAGAGAGTACAATAAATGTGGTTTGATCTAAAACACTATGGCAGGTTCATTTATACAATGCACAAAATAGACAATAATAGTATACATTATAGCTAACTGAGGGAGAGAAAACCATCTATAAAATTCCCTTCCCAACTTCTCTAGCCATCTTTTTTACTCAAGGTTAAGCAAATTTAGGCGATTTCTGATTTAAAGACTCCGCCAGTGTTGACACTGCAGTTGAGGATACCCCTACTCTCACCCCACCCCTACCACCCCTAGCCCTGCCTTCCCACACCACTCTTCACTCCCAACTCACACCCTCAACTAGGCACTAAGGTTCACCTTTCCCCAGAGATCCCAAGACCTTACCTTCCAGGGCCTCTCGTTAATGTCCTCCCCATTACATTCTCCCTTCTCTCCTTCCTTCTACCAACCAAAGCCTTCCAACCCTCTCCCCATCCAACCCATGGGAACCCTGAATTATGAATTAGCAAAGAGTTGGGACTGCACTTCCTTTGCCAGTACTGTTGCAACCTAACAGGAAATGGGTGTTCCCAATGTACCAAGTGGGCATTCTGGAGATATTACTTTCCTCACAGAAATTTGTTTAGCAGCCAGGCACTGTAGCTCATGCCTGTAATCCCAGCACTTTGGGAGGCTGAGGCGGGAGGATCATCTGGCCAACATGGCAAAACCCCGTCTCTACAAAAATACAAAAATTAGCCAGGAATAGTGGCACATGCCTGTAATCCCAGCTACTTGGGAGGCTGAGGCAGGAGAATTGTTTGAACCTGGGAGGTGGAGGTTGCAGTGAGCCGAGATTGCACCATGCAATCTAGCCTGGGAGACAGAGCGAGACTCCAACTCACCAAAAAAAAAAAAAAAAAAAAAAAAAGAACAAAAGAAAAAGAAAAAAGAAATGTTTTGCAAAGTGACTAGAATAAAGAGTATATTAATTCTGCAGTTTAATTACATTATAGATTAACGAGTTTTCAGCAAGCTAGTATGGAAACTTTGCCATTACACATTTATTGTAGAAACGAGAAAATGCATTCCAAGTTTCCAAAACACAAACTTTTAGAATGATACCTATTTGTGAGTTTAGTTACTGCCCATAATACCACAACTAAATCAATTCAAATTCCTAAAATAAGGATGAGAATCTTACTAAACCTATTCTTCAGGTATATTCCAAAGGACAATTCATAAATGAAAATACTTGTTAATGAGCTTCTTGTGATATAATACTAACTCTGCCTGCTGGGGTTTGCATTTGTTAATACTAAAACTTGCAAATGAAAACAAAATTATTTTTAAATTTCTGATAAATCATGTTTCAGCAGATTATCAAGTTTCAATAATGCCCTAGTAGCACACCAAAGCAATCATAATCATAATCCTTAAGTTCCTAATAGTACTTTGTGAATTGTGATATGAGACACAACAGAACTAACCAGTGGGTCTTTATGAGAACCAGAAGACCTCTTCTTCATTCCATGAGAGTGACTATAAGAATGATTCTGGAAGTAAATATTTCAAGTTAACTTCAATGATTGCATAGGGAAGTTATGAAAATAATTTAATAAAATTCATCTTGAAATTATATGCACAAAGGTCTATATGAGATACACAATAGTTTACATGCAATTTATTTCCCAAAGGTTAGTAAACAATTCACTGCACTTTACTAGCTAGGCTACCTGGCCCCTCTACACATTTGCATTCCTCCCTCACCTCCCTCTGTGCCAAGCATCTGTGTGTCTGGCCAGCTAAAGAAAACCTGATTAGAACTAAGAGACAGGCAGGATATTTGTGGAGACCTTCATGCCACACTTGAGTCCCTCTGGCTTCTTTTTTTTCTTTTTCAGTAGAAACAGGGTGTTGCTCTGTCACCCAGACAGGGGTATAGTGGCACAATCATGGCTCACTGCAGCCTAGAACTCCTGGACTCCTGCCACAGTCTCCTGAGTAGGTAAGACCACAGGTATGTACCACTACACTCAGCTAATGTGGGGTTGGGGGGACAGGTAGAGACAATGTCTTGCTATGTTGTCCAGGATGGTCTTGAACTCTTGGTCTCAAGTGATCCTCCTGCCTCAACCTCCCAAAATGCTGGATTACAGGCATGAGACACCACTCCTGCCCTCCCCCATCTTCTTTATAAGGATATAGGTAACAAGATAATTCATTTCCTTCTATAGTCTTCCTTACCTAAACGTCAAATAGCAATCTTTTGGAACAATTAAAACAGGACTGAGAGAACGAAGGACATGACATTAAACTGTCCCAGACAGTACTCTTAACCCAAATTAGTGAATCCACAGTATGTAATGCTCAGGAGGGAAACAACCAACATGGTATGGATTGCCCAGCATACCATAAATGGTCACCTTATAAAAGGGTCCCTTGAAGGCAGGATTGTCTCAATATCTAACTTTTCCTAGGAGTACAGAGCCAAGTACATATGGGGAAATTAAGGCCAGCAATACTACTAAATAGGTAAATTGGTAGATAAGAAATCTAATCTAGGTACGTACTACTTGCCTGAAATAAAAAGGTGTGGCTAGAAGTGCCCTACCTATCAAGAGCCAAAGGCAACAAACTGCTCTAGGTAAACCATCTCACATATATATGGCTGTATCCCCAATCAATGATTAAAAACTCATTTTTCTTTTTTTTGAATATGCATCTTTTTATATATTACTCTGAACATTTTAAGAGATGTCTATGTAATTTAGAAACTCAGGCAACCTAATGACAAAATATTAACCCAAGAAAAACAAGCTATAACTTAAATTCCTTGGTTAATGACATACCATAAAAAACTAACCAAATCAAACCAAAATGTATGGACATAACTGATGTCTTAGGTGTCCTCTAACACTACTGGATATTTTCTATCTAGCAACTTCACACCTGCTAGCTTGTGACATATGACATAAAACACAGGGCTTGTGCTCAACATTAAGACATGTTTATAACAGTGTTAGAATGACAATTAGTATATGTTAGGTGGGTGGCTCATCGTTTTAAGAAAAGATACATTACTACCAGCTGGGCATGATGGCTCACACATGTAATCCCAGCACTTTGGGAGGCCAAGGTGGGAGGATCACTTAAGACCAAAAGTTCGAGACCAGCCTGTACAGCATAGCAAAACCCCATCTCTACAAAAAAAATAAACCAATTAGGTGGGCATGTTGCCACATGTTTATAGTACTCGCTACTCAGAAGGCTGAGATGGGAGGATCCCTTGAACCCAGGAGTTCAAAGGTGCAGTCAATAAGTTATGATTGCACCACTGCACTCCAGCCTGGTTGACAGAGAGGGACCCCATCTTTAAAATTAAAAAAAAAAAAAAAAAAAAAAAAAAAGATATTACTACCAATCCTAGTCCTCAATAGATAAGAATAACTTGTGTCTAATTCTGAAATCCTAAAGAAAAAAATTACTATTCATGCCACAACCACAAAACATTAGCTTTTTGCTTTGTTAGTCACATTTTCCCCAAAAGTTCATAATAAAGCCATGAAAGTTAGTCATATTCTATAATTAGCATCAACAGATGTTTATAAAGCAAAACTCCAAATACAACACAAAGTCATGCACTACATACTAATGATGAAAGTCTTGATGATCTATCCTTGAACATATCATACTGGGTTTCAGCAGAACATGAAAGTTGGTTTGTTTCCAAATTCAGAAATATAAAGAAGAGAAGAAGTAATATTTGAGGTTATTAAAAATCCAGCACTATTTTAAAAGAAAAAATTATTAAACATGAAAGCTAATCCAGCTGAATTAAAAAATATATTCTTCCTCCTACTCTTTCCTAGTATAAAGTATTGCTAAACTGCATGTACATTCAAAATTGTATGTTTATTTTTCTTTTAAATAACAAAATTCATAACCACTAATAGTGATATGATTCAATCTCAGTACACTATAGCACAAAACATCCTAAGGGAGCCTTTAAATACAAGAATTAAGCATTCTAAAGTCAAAAGTGCTTTTTAAGAAAATTATTATCACTTTTAACATCATTTCCTATTGTTTGAAAAATGGCAAAAGCAAAGAATGAACAGGCAATAAGGCAAACACACATAACTAGCATGGTCAAGCTTACAAAAGAACAATTGCAGCACCAAGATGGGGAACATTCCCTTGGATCTGCTTGTGAACAAACACCTAAAATTGTCCTTCCTCAAGAAAATGCTGATTTCTCACTTTGAGAAATCTGGTCAAAGTGTGAACTGCACAGTATCACACAGGTGTGACACAGAATATAAATCAAAGAAAAATATACAAAAGTCATAAGACCAGAACACGCATATTTCATGTAGGAGCCTTTTAAAAAGATAGTATGTGTAATACCACATTTCAAATCCAGGAAAAAAAACCAAATAGCAACTACATAGATTTATGGCTTTCACACATCGTTTCTTAAACATTCTAGTTTATATTTGTAAGCTATCTACCCAGAAAGTCATATATAAAATAAATAAAAGCAATGAACAATTTCCTTAGGTAGTTTAAATACTAATTGTTTGGTAAAAATATCTTTCTTTTCCAACCCTTATATTCATTTAAAATTTTAAGGAATACTATTCAAAAACCCAATAGGTTGTAGTTCATCAGTAGTTCATAAAATCAACTTAGTAGCTTCAACCAGCTTTTTTTGAGACAGGGTCTCACTCTTTTGCCCAGGATGGAGTACAGTGGAGTACAGGCTGGAGTACAGTACAGTTCACTGCAACATCGAACTCCTGGGTTCAAGTGAACCTCCCATTTCAGGCTCCCAAGTACCTGGAACTGCAGAACTACAGGTACATGCCACCATGCTTAGCTAATTTTTTTATTATTATTATTATTTTAGGAGATGGGGTCTTGCTATGTTGCCCAGGCTGGCCTTGAACTCCTGGGTTCAAGTAATCCTCCCACCTCAGCCTTCCAAAGTGCTGGGATTACAGGCAAGAGCCACTGTACCCTGCCCTCAACCAGCATTTTAAAAACTAAACTAGAAGAGAAATTAGAGGGTGCTGTGCAAAGTAAGTGTAAATATCATTTCGTGAAACTTTTGTTTCAATAATGTATTTTCTATACTTTTACATATATACAAATTCACATGCATGAATCTTCATGTGTATACTGACTTACGGTGTAAAATGTATTCCTTGTAGAGATCACAATTTTTAAAAAGCTTGAAATATATCACAAAATCAAATTATATAATCTAGTTCTAATAAAACATTAAAATAATAGTTCAGTCAAAATAAAGCCCTTCCTTTCATGCCTAATGAAACGGTCATTTATAAAAAACATTGCAGAAACCTCAAAAAATAAATTCCATAAGTATCAGACTAAGTGGTACCATTTTACCACTGGTATAAATTCATTGAAAATGTTATTGTAATAAACACCAATTTTATTGGAGCAAAATATCTGTACCGAATGCTTTTCTTATATTATCCCGAAACTAACATAAGCAATAAAAAAATATTATTAATACATGTGTAACAAAATCTTGTTACAAAATTTTCCAAAATACATAATAGTATGCATTTGTTAAACTGTGTAGTAGTAAAATGTCACTTACCATGGAGTGACACTTCCCCAAAAATAAAGTTGCTTCTCTATGGAAATTTCTAAATATTTTATATCTAACCCTTTTGTTAAAAACAAAACAAAACAAAACAAAAAAAACCTCCATGACCAAAACGTATATTACTCAAGGCACACATTCTAGCACACAAGCTATTCCATCCTCCAAATCAGGTAAGTTCATGGAAAAGGGTAGCTGTCTTTACTCTTATCATCCTTTCTGTAGCACCAGTGGCATTTTACACAGGCACAGGATTTAACAAGCCAAACTGGAATTAACCTGTTTCAATTTTCCTTTTCCAAAATATAACGTAGAATTCAGCTGGTTTTTAAAAAAATGTTGAATCTATCTGGTAGGAAAATCCATAATTTGGGCATACCAACTGCTACTAAAACAATGGGCAAACAAAAAAAGTCACCCCAATAAGTAAAAGTTGGCATTTATATTGTTGTAAAATAAGAAAGATTTATCAAAGGAGGAAAAGTGAAAATAGTAAGGGCTCATTTCCAAATTTTTGATGCTATAACTATAGAGCAAAAAAAATCCAAAATTTGCTATTGTAATCTTTTAAAGAAATTTTAACTGTCAAACTTGACTGAAAGTTTTCATTAGGAAACAAACTAGAAAGAAAATATATACAGCAAACAAAGTTAATCAAGTGTTAATTTCTATCAGAATGTACCTATTACTCAAATATCCAGGACGCTGGAAGTCAAAAGTGAATGCACAACACTAATACCACACATTTTCCTAGGCTACACACCATGGTGTCTTTCCTTTTGGGTGTACTGGCTCTGCTCCAAAGTGTCCCAGTTATATCCTTCGATGGGTTCTTCAATGGAATTAAACAGTGTAATAGTAAATGATAAAACACAAAATTGTAAGTATATTTTAAAAATTAAATTCATTAAAATTATATCAAGGCTACTGGTATATAAATAATAACTAAATACATGCAACAGTAAAAATCTCCACCAACGAGAAAAGGCAATTTATCCCTACTGCTCTGATTCAATCAAGATCGTTTTCTTCATTTTTATGCTATGGCACAATCAACGCTCAACGCAGCCTCGACTTCCTGGACAGCTCAAGCAATCCGCCCACCTCAGCCTCCCAACTAGCTGGGACCACAGGCGTGCAGCACCATACCCAGCTAATTTATTTTATTTTTATTTATTTATTTTTAGTAGAGACAAGTTCTCACTACATTGCCCAGGTTGATCTCAAGCTCCTGGGTGATTCTGCTGCATCAGCCTCCCAAAGTGCTGGGATGAAAGGCATGAGCCACTGTGTCTGGTCAAGATCACTTCATTTTCTAATTTTGGATCTCCACCTTACTGTCTTCTTGTATTTCAATGTATAAAGCAATGACCAAGCAGCTACTAATGTTCTGCACTATTAATAATCCAATCATTATATAAAACTAATAGACACAGACTGTTTCAATTCTAAATTCCTAACTTTGATGTAATCATCCCTCCCCCAATCCTACTATTCACAGTCTAGAACTACCTTTGCTGTTTTTATTTTTATACATAATGTCTATAGCACTGACACCAACATTTCTAGCCCAGATAGCTTCTGGTAAGCCACCTTTCAAAAAGATAGTATATGAAAGTTAATTGGACAAAAGGAGAAATCTAAAGTCCTAAGAATGCACCATAAGATCATAAATATATCCACCTCACATTCAGGTACTGCTAATGTTCACACATCAAATATTACGTTCAGAAAGTATTAGACCTCTTAATACATGGCCTTAAGTTTTTAAAAATAACTGGCTGAGAAATGCATAACTCCAAAATTATATAGCAAACCACAAGGAAATTTAGGTCAGTGTTTTAGGCCATCACATTTCTTTCTACAGAGGACAAAAGTTGTCTAACATATTCAGCTTAAAGGAGAAGTTATTTTAAAAGCAAATAATTTGATGAAAACTTAGAACTCTCAATATTATTTGGGTAAAACAGAAAATGTTTTATCTCAACTATATTTCTTTTAAATGAAATTAGTAGTGAGCTTTCAGACTTGTTTCCAGGGAAATCTAAACATTTAAACTGTGCTAGATGTACACTTACAGAGAGTAATGTACTAGAATCTCCTCTAGGATGTAAAACTTTTATTAATTTTTACATTTATACATTGACGTTTTTAAATACTGGGAGTTTTATTATATCCCATATTAACAAATTTTCAAAATTAACATAATGAAATTAAATACTGCAGTTATATCTTAAATTTGTTTAATGATACAAATGCCATAAAAATAAAATCAACCTGATTACTTTATATACATTCTGGGTATACAGTTATTATCAGTTTAACTGCAGATTTCTCTTTTTTTGCAGATTTGTTTTAAAGGCTCCCAAATGTTCAAATTTTGCTGGTTCTACCTTTAAGTTAAACAAATATATAATCAAGTTTCCTAAGGTCACATGCAAATTTACAAATAAGCAGCTTAATAACAACTGTGTAAAAATACACACTACGAACGTTATAATGAAAAGCAAAAGGAAAAAGCCATAAATACAAGAAGAGGATTATTTTCACAGCCTTTAAGACTCAACTTTAAAGCTTTTATTGACTGACTCCCTATATCATTCTTTACAAAATAATTATTTTAATTTTTATTTTGAGACAGAGGCTCACTCTGTCACCCAAGCTGGAGTGCAGTGGCAGGATCTCAGCTCATTGCAACCTCCGCCCACGGGTTCAACTGATTCTCGTGCCTCAGCCTGCCAAGTAGCTGGGATTACAGGCATTAGCCACTACACCTGGCTAATTTTTGTATTTTTAGTAGAGACGGGAGTTTTTGCCATGTTGGCCAGGTTGGTCTGGAACTCTGAACCTCAGGTGATCTGCCCACCTCAGCATCCCAAAGTGCTGGGATTACAGATGTCAGCCACCGCTCCCGGCCTTTTCAAAATATTTAAAGAGAAAAAAACAAAGTACTATATCTCCAGGGAGAAGTATGATGAATTCACTATTAAAATTTTTCCACCGTAAAATCATTTATAGGCTGCCAATTATCTTAGATTTCTGTAACGATCTGTTAATATTCTTTTTTTTTTTTTTTTTTTTGAGATGGAGTTTCGCTCTTGTTGCCCAGGCTGGAGCGCAATGGTGCAATCTTGGCTCACTGCAACCTCCGCTTTCCAGATTCAAGCAATTCTCCTGCTTCAACCTACCAAGTAACTGGGATTACAGGCATGTGCCACCACACCAGGCTAATTTTGTATTTTCAGTAGAGATGGGTTTCACCATGTTAGCCAGGCTGGTCGTGAACTTCCAACCTCAGGTGATCCACCTGCCTCGGCCTCCCAAAGTGCTGAGATTACAGGTGTGAGCCACCGTGTCTGGCCAATATTCTTAAAATCTAAAGTTTTATAACTAAAATATTCCTGATTTAGTAACCAGTTTAGTAACTTACTCTAAAAAGACAGTACATTACGTTCGACAAGAAAAATAACCAGCCTGGAGAACATTCACCAAGAAAAATAGCCAGCCTGGAGTTTATATTTATGAATATAAACATGTCAATAACTAGTATGCCAGAGCACACTCAGTTTATTAGAGTCTATTTTTATCATTTATACAAGGTGGAAAGAAAATTACAGTCAGGGAAAACTAACAAATAGAGACTTCAACATGAAAGATCATCTTACTGATTTAAAAAACTACAGGAAGTATACATATAACATTGTAACCAAAATGCAGTTGTATCCTAAAAGCTATTAAAATAAAAAAAAATTTAAATAAAATAAAATGGAAAAAAAGCAAGTATACACATAGCATTATCAATGTGTAAAATAAAAGTGCCGCTTTAAGGTTTAAAGTATACTTTTTTAAGAGAGAAATTAGGGTCTTGGCATAATACGAGGGTTTTTAAGGAGCAGCTTCTTTTTCCTCCTGATGTATAACAATCCATGCAAAAAACAACCTGGGGCATTCTATAAAATGTTAATCAAAATGTCAAAGCATGATAATTCCTATACATATTCAGGGAATTTCTCAAATCAGATGTTCAAATTTTCCACATAATAAAATTATAATTAATCATCCAAGCCCCAAAGCTATTTTGCATTTAATAAACTGTCATTTTTTAAGATATGAAAGTAGGAAAAGTCTGAAAGTTAGAACCAAACAAATGTTATTCTACAAGATCAATCTTAATTATTTTTTTCCAAAATCAAAGGTCCTTCTATAGAAAAAGAGATTAGACCCATGTTAATAGATTAAAGTACTCATGATTTTAGAGTTGATTTACTTATGACAATAATTTGAAAGAAAGCATCATTTTCCAATGAAAGGTCTTTGCCAATATTTTATACTTCTTTTAAAAAGGCAAAGAAATACATGAGCATTGTCAGATTGTTTAGGCAACTGAAGAAAGTTCACATGTAAGCTTTGTATTGTGTAGACAAGTTAAAATACCAACCCTGTGACTGCCAAGACTTCGAATGGACAACGCATCCTCAACTCCCTGATAAAAATAAAAATAAACACAGTAAAAGTTTGTGAGTGACTGCATTAAGCTAATGAGGAAAAGTATCAGAGGCAAGTTTATAGGTTATTACAAACCAGATAAGGACGATGGTGACTGGACCGGTGGGAATACCTGGCCCTTTCCGAATCTTCCTGGGAAAGGAGAAAGTACATGTAGAGTTAATCGCTGAACAGACAGTTGTTTATCAGAACTGCGCAAAGAGCAGTCAGTTAGCAGCACAGCAACAACTCCTGAGAGCAGGTGGGTTTGGACAACTTATCTTTGGGGCAGCCACATTCTTTGGTTGGAAAGAAAGTAGAAATAATCTTGGCAATGCTCTTATTTTATCAGGAGTATGTATGTCAGACCACTTGGAATGGTCTGTATAAGACCAAGAGAGTTCAATATACCAAGATAAAAATGTGCAAGTATACTCAACAAAGAGAAGTTGAGTTCAGCATTAAAAAAAGACATTAATCTATTTTTTTCATTGTGCTCATCAGTTTATGCAGGTAGGAAGAAGTGTTTACATTATCACTGATGTATTTTAACAAGACAGTATATGATTCTAAAAATACTTGGATTATAATTTTGCGCTTACTGTAAAGATTTCTTTTTTTTTCTTTTACCACTCTAACTAGAAAAGAACTGAAACAGAGCCTGAAACAGAGCCTGTGTGTTGTTAATATGAAAAACTACTTATACTTAGAAATAATTACATATATATTTTAGAGTTGGTCAAGTTATCTCAAATAATGCCATAAACAGATTATTTTTTAAAAATGATTGCAGCCTAACAGTTGACTAAATTAAATGTAATTCTAAACTTTTCCACATTTAGCTATTAGCAATGGAGCATTAAGGCCTGAGTCATGCGGGATAAAATGGCTAGTCCCTAAAACCTGCTCATCTCAAACAGTAAGGAATTTCTGATCTTTCAGAATTTCAAGTCCAAAGTGTTAATGTGCACTGACTGAAAATCTATACATTACTGATCAACTGGGTTCATGGCTTATCAATGCTGTATTTTTGTAAAATGAATCAATGCCTCAAAACTCCCTGGTTGACATCTGTTGTGACTGATGCCCTTGACCAAATCTATGCTGAAGTCTGTTTATGACTCTATGCTGAAGTCTGTTTATGAGTCTGTTATGACTCTGTTATGACTCAATTTCTAATCAGATATTCTGATCTTTAGGAATTCATCACTGATTTACATTTGTTGTTGTTGTTGTCGTCGTTGTTTTTGGAGACGGAGTCTCGCTCTGTCGCCCAGGCTGGAATGCAGTGGCGTGACCTCAGTTCATAGCAACCTCAGCCTCCTGGGTTCGAGCAATTCTCGTGCTTCAGCCCCCCAAGTAGCTGGGACCACAGGCACCCACCACCACACCCGGCTAATTTTTGTTTTAGCAGAGATGGGGTTTCGCCATGTTGGCCAGGCTAGTCTTGAATTCCTGACCTCAAGGGATCTGCCCACCTCAGCCTTCCAAAGTGCTGGTATTACAGGTGTGAGCCACCATGCCTGGCCACTGATTTACATTTTTTGTTATGCAATAGACACATGTAGTCTGCAAGAAGCCAAGAAAATTTCTTCCCTTTCTTTATCAAGTGATATCACAAAAGTTTTGGGGGCATGTGTGTTAGCCTAGCAGGACGGGTACAGCTTATTAAGTGGTAATCAGTTCTAGGCCACTTAGTTTGGTTAGTTTGAAAAGCCTTTACCATAAAGGTGAGTTAACTCAACATGCCCCTTCCAATATTATTTGGGGTACTAGGGTAAATATATGGTTTAATGTCTAATCTTCCCTTTATTCTAGCCTTTTTTCCATTCCATCTATCACATAAGAGCATTTTCAAAAACCTCATCTAAAGAGCACACTCCATTAAAGATGCAGCAAAGACAGATTAAGTCATAGTTTCAATTATGTCCCTTATATTAATAAAAATAATTATAAATTAAAATACCTTATTAAATATTGATATATAGTACCTCTATATTTAAAGAGCTTCTCTTGCTCCATTTGAAAAATTGGCCTAAAAAGATTTCCAAAAACTACAGAATAAAATATAAACCCCCATACAGGTCAGTTAATTTGGACAGAGAGTATACTTATAGTCATAAACTATACCTTAAATAAGCACTGTCCAATACAACTTTCTCTGACCACGGAAATGTTCTATATTTGTGCTAATATAGTATCCACTAGCCACATGTGGCTACTGAGCACTTGAAATGCAACTGAGAAACCAAATTTTAAATTTTATTTAATTTTAGTCAATTTAAATTTAAATTTAATTACCTACATGTGGCTACCATACCTGATAGCACTTCTCTAAACCTATTTGACAAATATGTTTAGGTAAAACAGTAAGGCAAGCTCAAGGCAAATTTTAATAACACCAAAAACTTCCAAAACACATATTCTACTAAGAGCCTGCCAAGTAGGACCACTCTGATATAGAAAGGCAAAACATTTGGGTCGTTTTTAATTACTTCTACCTTGAATACTTTTGCACAGCGGCAAACTTGAGGGAAACAGACCCTGGTAGCAATGATATAAAGTGACCCTGGGGAGGGGAGGGGAGGGGAGGGGAGGCGAGGGGAGGCGAGGGGAGGCGAGGGAAGGGAGGAAAGAAAATGGCAAGGTATTCCGGTTTTTACTCAGAGATTCTCCCTTCTCTGGAAGAACAAAAAGCTTCATTTCCCAGGTATTTCTAGAGTACTATTTACATTGCCAATTGGTTTCTCTTGAATAAATTATACCAGCGGACAAAGAGAAAAGATTACAGCAAACTATGTTCTTAGGTGCCAGTTACAAGGTGTATCCCTCTATTCCACAATGAGGAAAATAATACATCGTCATTATCCCAAAAGTCCTTATTAATACTAAAGCACTAAAGACTGAACAAACAGTGCAATGCCTTAAAAAATAGACATATGTTTGTTCAAAATGATGTTTTGATACATTTAATGAAAATGAAATATACTCTTTGTTTTTAAAAGTTCACCTGAATGGAGGATGAATGGTTTTATTAAAAGAAAACCACAGTCCTATGAATATACCTGGCCATCTTTTCTGTCAACAAATAGTATTTATTATTAAGTTGACGCTAAAGTCATTCCTTCAGTTTCAAATTAGGAGGAACTTCAAAAACCATTATTTACTCTTCCAGACATGCATTTACTCTTTTGGATACAACAATGATTAAGACAGACACCCAGTTTAAAAAAGAATCAATAGGTTCATGGAAAGTTGAATAAACTAACACTAATGGGAGGCCCAGGAAGGCATAGGTCCTTTTCTTCCTGGTCCTTTCATCCTTCCAACACATTACCAGGTGTGGCACTCTCTCATACCTTCAAATACTGGTTCTGCCAATGACTATGCAAGTTATTTACTTCACCAATTCTTTATAAACATATCTATAAAATTGGGACAGTAATACCTGTCTTACAATGTGAAATAAAACCTACGTAAAAAGCACTAGCGCAGTGCTGATATACAGTTTGCACTCAAAGTTGTATTCATTTCTGAGATTCCTTCCTTTTCACTCCCTATTCATGTCCCAACATCACACTTCCAAAAAAAGGTATTATAATGAGGGGAAATTGTAAATACAGGAAAATTTCCTTCCTTCTAGTAACTGACAATCCTATTGTGGATTGTGTGTGTATGCATCATTTATTTTACTATAAATATTAGCCATTTATATTTTGTATTGTAACTATTACATGCCAACTTCTTCTTATGGGGTCATAGATAAAGCAGCCAGAGAGACAAAGATAAGAAGTGAGAAGAAGAATCGGTTTAATTTTTTTCTTTTTCTTTTTATTTGTTTACTGTCAACCAACTCACACCAAAGAATCAGTTTTTTGTTGTTGTTGTTTGTTTGTTTGAGACAGAGTCTCACTCTGTTGCCCCGGCTGGAGTGCAGTGGAACAATCTTGGCTCACTGCAACCTCCGCCTCCCAGGTTCAAGCGATTTTCCTGCCTCAGCCTCCCCGAGTAGCTGGGATTACAGGTGCCCGCCAGCACACCTGGCTAATTTTTGGATTTTTGGTAGAGACAGGGTTTCACCATGTTGCCAGGCTGGTCTTGAACTCCTGACCTCAAGTAATCCACCTGCCTCGGCCTCCCAAAGTGCTGGGATTACAGGCATGGGTCACTGTGCCCAGACCCAAACAATCAGTTTTAACAGGGTAAAAGCAAGTGTCAGAAGGGGTTAGAAGTGATAATTATTCCCATCTGAAAAGCAATGCCACTTTCTCTGCATGTCCAAGTCCTGCCTATAAATCTCAAGACTTGGATTAGTCACTACCTGAATTTTAAAACTCTAGCCCAAAGGTCACCCCTTTCAATGAAAATCTAGCATACTCACTGCCTAAACTGCACACATTTCACAGAGGTTTAACAATAAAACAAAAAAAAAAAGATTTGGCTGGGCACGGTGGCTCACGCCTGTAATCCCAGCACTTTGAGAGGCCGAGGTGGGTGGATCGCCGGAGGTCAGGAGCTTGAAACTAGCCTGGCCAACATGGTCAAACTTCGTATCTACTGAAAATACAAAAAAAATTGTAATCCCAGTTATTCGGGAGGCTGAGGCAGAAGAATCACTTGATCCCGGGAGGCAGAGGTTGCAGTGAGCCGAGATCGCACCACTGCACTCCAGCTTGGGCGACAGAGTGAGACTCTATCTCAAAAATAAACAAATAAAGTAAAAGAAAAAAGAAAAATTTCATCTTCCTGGCCTGTGAACATAGAAATCAAACATTAGACTTATCTTAGGCAATTTAATTTTAGAATTATAATGCATAATTAAAAGAACAAACTAACATTTCCAAAGACATTTTGTAAGCCAAAGTGATTTTTTTTTTTTTTTTTTTTTTTAAAGGGACGGGGTCTTGCCCTGTCACCCAGGCTGGAGTATAGTGGCGTGATCACAGCTCACTGCAGCCTGGACTCCTGGGCTCAAGCAATCCTTCTGCCTCAGCCTCTGGAGTAGCTGGGACTACAGACTCATGCCAGCAAGCCCTGCTAATTTTTTTTAAGACAGGGTCTTGCTATGTTGCCGAAGCTAGTCTCAAATCCCTGGCCTGAAGCAATCCTCCTACCTCAACCTCCCAAGTAGTGGGATTACAGGTACAAGCCATAGCTCCCAACAAAAATGATTTCTTTTATTCACACAAAACATTCTTAATGCATCATCAATAATATTAACCCAATTACATGCAGAAGACACTTCAAATAAAATTAATTAGGCAAGTTCTAGTTACAAGAAAAGATAGATTCCACTCCAAAATAACACACACATACCTGAGGGGTCATTTAATTTTAAGTAACCAAACATCTTCTTTCTCTTTTTTTCTAAAACACTATCACAACAAGAATTACAATAAAGTTTTAAATTTGAAAGTCATTATAGTAATAAATATTTAAATTCTGCTTGTACCTTAAAATGCTGCTAGAGAAGAGATTTGCTCATAAAGTTGCTTGTTTAGACCGGACATGGAGGCTCACGCCTATAATCCCAGCACTTTGGGAGGCTGAGGTGGGTGGATCACCAGAGGTCAGGAGTTTGAGACCAGCCTGGTCAACATGATGAAACCCTGTCTCTACTAAAAATACAAAAATTAGCTGGGCGTGGTGGCGGGCGCCTGTAATCCCAGCTACTCAAGAGGCTGAGGCAGGAGAATCACTTGAACCCAGGAAGCAGAGGTTTCAGTGAACTGAGACTGTGCCACTGTATTCCAGCCCGGGCAATGAGCACAAAACTCCGTCTCAAAAAAAAAAAGAAGGAAAGTTGCTTGTTTAGCAGCAATCAGACAGTGGTTCTGTAATTCCTCTAGGAATCACAGACTACTTTGAGAATCTGACAACAAAAATACCTGTGGGCATTTCCCATAAAAATAATTACATTTGAAAGTCTGCAGTAGAATTTAAGGCTTCATACCCCATCTCCCAAGCCTAGTCATATACAAGTTAAGAAGCCCTGTAATAGGAAACAGTGGGGAACTTACCAAGCTTTAAAAAAGTTCAAATTTAGGAATGATTCACATTAACTAACATTTTACTGATTCACAATTTGCTTTTATAGCTGACACATTTGAGAGTAGTGGTAGAGAACTTAAAAAGGACCTGAAGGAGTTGATGATAATAAGAGTAATTTTCAGAGGAAATGAAAGAATTACCTAGGTCATCTTTCAATGAAGACCACGTGGACTTAGTTTTTTAAAAAAAGGGGAGAGAGAGCGGGGAAGAAAAGAACAAATCCATAAAAAGAAAACACATTCATTTTCTCACTCTTTCTTGATCAGGAGCATTCATGAGATGAAGGTGAAGATACTGACTACAACACAAAATGGTTGGACTCCAAATATACCTCTGGTCCACTATAGACAGAACAGACACTCTGACCTTTAGGTTCACACAGGCCAAACACTCCTACTTTGCAAACGATTAGTTAATGTTTTACTTCAAGACTGCATTATTTCAGCAACTGATCACAACATGCAGGACAGGCAATACTGGCCTACCAGCCACTTCTGAATCTGTCCCCATTTCCGATCAAAGGAATGATGAGAGTGCTAGAAATGCAAAAGTTTCATAAACCAAATCGTTTCTAACATATTGCATTCTCCAAAAACCTTAATCATACACATTTTCCCTAAAGAGCAATGATAGCTGACTCAAAGTTACACATTCAAAATACAGAAAATTAGTAAGCTAAATATGTTCAATAATAAGAGACGGATGGTTCCCTGTAGTTAAGAGAATTGTAAATAGAAGTTACATTTAATAACTGTCTCATTCACTTATTTATTTGTTTTTTTGGAGACAGGATCTCACTTAGTCGCCCAGGCTGGAGTGCAGTGGTGCCATCATAGCTCACTGTAACTTCAAACTCCCAGGCTCAAGTGATCCTCCACCTCAGCTCATTCACTTATTATTATATTTAGTATAATTTTAGGAGTAAAAAGACAACAGATTGCAGCACTTCCATTTCAAGTCGAGAACTGCATTCCATATTTGAAACTATACATGAGGTTAAAAGAAAATTAGCAACATGTCAATTTTAGTGTTTTTCTTGAGCTGTGACAACATAAAATATTTACATTGCTTTTTAACCTGCTCACAGAAAATTCACCACCAAAATCAAAAGAAAGTGTTTAATACTGTCCCACAGGCTTTTGCCCCTTCACACTACTACAACATCAAAAATATTTATTATGGAACTTTTCAGGACCAAGTCAATGCCAGAAAAGTAAAAGCATATTTATTTCATTTTAATCAGCCTAATTTCCATATGCCTATTCCTAAAATTTTTTTCTTGTTTTCCTTTCCTATAAAAGCATATTGAAAATTTGTAAATTACAGAAAAGTATAGAAAGAAAGTAAAACCAACAATAATTCCACCATAGACAAACCACGTATTGATAATCACTTCTTTCTAGTAGTTTTTGATGCTATATATGGATACTGGATTTTGTAACATAAAATTGGGGTTCTACAAATTGTATTGTTTTGGTTTGCTTTTATCGCATATTCTTATATATTTTCCTCTATTATTAAATATGCTTTAAAATTGTAAGTCTGAATGACTTTACAAGGTTTTACCATATATATAGATACCATAATATAATTAATCCAAATTTTAGGACAATTAGAGCTATACTACACTTTATCATTGCTAAAGTTACCTTAGCTAACATAAGTAAAGCACTCGTAATACTAATAACTTATAACAATGTACACGATAATAGCTATATATGTGTTTGTTGTTACTACTTAAAACAAATATCACAATTAATTTGCTGGCACAGAATGGCTTGATAAAATACATACATCAGTTTATACTATTCTCAGTGTTTCAAAGGAAACCAGATTCACATCAGAATAAACTAGCCAAGCACTGATTTTCAGGGAGACAAACATGAAATTAGGGTTATTCCCTCAAATTACCTCTTTTTGTTGCCGTTCCAGTTCTCTCATGCGTATATCTCTTGCTTCTGCCCGGGCAGCCCGTTTTGCTGCCAGCCTTGCCTCTGCCTGAAAAGTAATATAAAACTCAGCTTTATACAACACAAACAAAAACAACCTGTACACCAGATTTGAAAATAAAGAACAAATGGGACATTACTGTGCAAAAGGGGTGGGGAGGACAAGATATTATCTATCAGCAAGTTTGACTGATTGCTTTAATCAACTCTTACAAACTCACTTTTTTCTCTAGTTCCTAAGTCTCTCCTCAAATCCGGGCCTTTACCTTTAACTTCCTGTTTGATTACACACTCAACACACTTTCACACAGTTTGTCATATGCCTCTCCAAACTTACTCTTTTTCCAGCATTTTTCCCCATTGATTCAATCATATAAACTAGAAACTTCAGAACCAACCTCTCTTTCACTTTGGACACTGCCAATAATCAGTCTCCAAGTACCGACAATTCTCCACCACTGAGTCTCTATCAAACCCATCTCAGCTTTCTTTATTCTCACTGTTCCTGCTCATTTCAAGAACTCTTCATCTCCCCATTCCCCAACTCTCTGTTTTAAAATTGAGACAGAATTCACATATCATCAAATTCACTATTTAAATGTATACAATTCCGGTGCAGTGGCTCATGCCTATAATCCCAGCACTTTGGGAGGCCAAGGCAGGAGGATCACAAGAGGCCAAGAGTTTGAGAACAGCTTAGGCAACATGATGAAACCTGTCTCCACTAAAAATAAAAAAAAATAGCCAGGCGTGGTGGCACACACTTGTAACCCTAGCTACTTGGGTGGCTGAGACAGGAAAATTACTTGAACCTGGAAGGTGGAAGCTGCAGAGAGCTGAGATCACGCTACTGCACTGCAGCCTGGATGACAGAGTGAGGCCCTGTCTCAAAAATAAATAAATAAATGTATACAATTCTGTGGTTTTTAGTATACTCACAAGGACGTGCAATCATCATGACTAATTCCAGAACATTCTCATACCCCAAAATGAAACCTGGTACCCATTAGTAGGCACTCCCCATTAACCCTTCCTCCCAGCTCCTGGCAACCACTAATCTACTTTCTGTATCTATGCATTCACTTATTCTGGACATTTCATATAAATGGAATCATATCATAGGAATTCTTCATCTCTTGTTTGCACTACTGCAATTACCTCCAAATCCATCTACCTACTTCCAGAATCTGCCTTATAATTTATCTTCTGTATGGTTATATGATGGACAAATCAGCCTTTCAAAACGTATTATTTCTGATCACGTCATTCCACTGCACAAAATCCTCCACCAGCTCCTTATTACTTATGGTTAAAGCAAAAACTCCACAGAATAGCACAAAGGGAAGAACAGAAAGAAGAAAGGCAAAAATGAAATAAGGCACCTCACCGTCAGGTCCCCATCTTATTTCCAAGTCCAGTAGTCCCCCCATTATCTGTGGTTTCAGTTACCCATGGTTAACCAAGGTGCAAAAATATTAAGTGGAAAATTCCAGAAATAAACAATTCATAAGTTTTAAACCGTACGCCATTCGAAGTAGTATGATAAAAGCTCTCAGGACGTCAATCATCCCTTTGTTGAGCATATCCATCCTGTCTATGCTACCCACTTGTTAGCTGTCTCAGTTATCAAATCACAGTGATTGTGTTCGAGTAATCCTCATTTTATTTAATAATGGTCCTGAAGAGTAAGAGTGATTCTGACAATTCAGGTATGCCAAAGAGAAGCCATAAAGTGCTTCCTTTAAGTGAAAAGGTGAACATTCTAACCTTAATAGAAAAAATAATCATCCACTGAGGTTGCTAAGATCTATGGTAAGAACAAATCTTCTATCCATGAAATCGTGAAGAAGGAAAAAGAAATTTGCGCTAGATTTTGCACCTCAAACTGCAAAAGTTACAGCCACAGTTCATGACAGTTAAGATGGAAAAGACATTACATTTGTAGGTGGAAAACATGAACAGAAACGTGTTCCGATTGATAGCAATCAACTTTGCTACTATCCACAGCTTCAGGTATCTGCTAGAGGGCTTGGAATGTATCTCCCATGGATGGGGGTGGTGGAGACTACTCTACTTGCTCCACGTGTACTGGATGCATCCCATCTCTCTCCATTCCTGGACTCTATTGTGTTCTGTTATGCCTCTCTTCACAAACTGTTTGGCAGGAGCTGTTCTCCCTTCTCTTATTCAGTAAAATATTACCTTCTATGAAGATTCCTCCCAGTCCCTCTTTCATAAAGTCAGGCTCTATACCCATGTCTCTATTGTGGCTTTATTATGTTGTATTAAAATTCCATGCTTCTCTCACCCCACAACTTTTACGCCTTAATGTCTGCTTAAAAAAAATGAATTGCAGGGCAAAGGTCACAGTATAAAGGAAATGAGATAAGGAAGTAGCTTAATGTGCCACGTGAAACTCATAGAAATCTACTGTCTGGTTTCTATATGGTAGTGGAATGGTTTCCTCTGTCCTTGGTCACATCTTAATTCTGATTCAGACTATTCCCTTGGATAATAGTTGTTGTCTTCCCATTTTGTTATATTTGTGCCCAAGTCTCATAAGAATAAACTCAGCCAATGTTTAAAAGGATCTACTACATGTAAGCAATTATGCTAGGTGCTGAAAATACAGAGTAAGATATGACATCTCTGCCCTAAAGCAACTCACAAAGTTGAAGGATACAGAAACACAATGCTTATGGGAAGGAAGCATGTAGGAAAGAGAAATTAGTTTCGCCTGGCAAAGTCATAGCAGGCTTCTAAGAAGCAGAGAGAGTTAAATAGTTAACTGCTACTCAACTATTCCAATTTTGGCAATTTCCCAGTCTGTGTAACTGGTCTTTCAATAGAAAAACCCCTGCAAAGTAAATTGTAATCTACCAGCCGTAAGCTGTAACCACTAACAATCTAGAGCAATTAGTTTTCTCCCATGAATTTTACACTGGCCTCCATCTTTTCAAAACCTGTGCTCTGCTTCAAGTTATCCGCCTTCTTCTCCCCTCTATGAGTAGGCACTACTTTCTTATTAGAGTTTCTTTTTTTTTTTTTTTAATAGGAAAACACTTCAAGGCTTTTATGCTTAAGTAGATAGCAAATATATTTTAAAATCACAAAGCATCAAAACTTTCAAACCTTTTTAAGAAAGCCCTATCAGTGTATAGATATTTTCATTTACATGTATATTAGCTTTGTACCCGAAGCCTCCTTTAGAAATTTAATTCAAGAATGCCAATTTTATCCTTCTAAGATTTGTCTGTGGCCAATTCTGTACAATCTACACTAAAATGAGACTTCCTTCACAAAACCCAACTTAGAGATAATTAAAATATATTCTTTAATAAGACATTTTTAACTACAAAAAGGAAAGGAACAGAAAGAACATGGGCTTCAGAGACACACAAACACCCTTCCCTTTGTTACTCAGCCAACTCAGTGTTACCTCCCTTGGAGACTGTGTTGAAGAGAGGCCACTAAAACTACATGCTTTAAAAGAAATAAACGGGATTTAAAACTACTTTATCTGGTTCTTTCTATACTTGTTACTAGATGCTTGAAGGAACATGGATTAGCAGGAGCAGCAAGGAGCCAACACTGATTCCAACCTAGTAGACAAAATATTATGATATATTTTTAAATTATTTTTGAATAGACAATTATGGGTACATAAAACACACTTCTAGGTAGTTAACACTAGCATTTTCACCTCAGAATACAATCACATGAAAGAGCTGCTACAGAATCATTTTAATATACACCTCATACATACAAAACAAATGGGATACAACAATAAAGGACAACCAAGATTTAACTAAATTCACAGTAAAGGCTGGGCGTGGTGGCTCACCCCTGTAATCCCAGCACTTTGGGGGGCCAAGGCGGGCGGATCAGTGGAGGCCAGGAGTTCAAGACCAGCCTGGTCAACATGGCGAAACCCTATCTCTACTAAAAATGGAAAAAATTAGCTGGGTGTGGTGGTGCACACCTGTAAACCCAGCTACTCGGGAGGCTGAGGCACAAGAATCACTTGAACCCGGGAGGCAGAGGTTACAGTGAGCCGAGATTGTACTACTGCACTCCAGCCTGGGCAACAAAGTGAAACTCTGTCTCAACAAACAAACAGCCGGGCGCGGTGGCTCAAGCCTGTAATCCCAGCACTGTGGGAGGCCGAGACGGGAGGATCACGAGGTCAAGAGATCGAGACCATCCTGGCTAACACGGTGAAACCCCGTCTCTACTAAAAATACAAAAAACTAGCCGGGCGAGGTGGCGGGCGCCTGTAGTCCCAGCTACTCCGGAGGCTGAGGCAGGAGAATGGCGTAAACCCGGGAGGCGGAGCTTGCAGTGAGCTGAGATCTGGCCACTGCACTCCAGCCTGGGCAACAGAGCGAGACTCCGTCTCAAAAAACAAACAAACAAACAAACAAACAAAACAAAATAAAGTTGGCTAAAACACAGAATTACCATTTGATCCAATAATTCCACTTATGGGTATATATACAAAAGAACTGGAAAGCAGAGACAACATATATTTATATACCAGTGTTCATAGCAGCATTATTCACAATAGTCAAAATGTAGAAACAACCCAAATATCTATCAATGGATGAATGGATAGACAAATTATGGCATATACATACTTTGGATTATTCAGCCTTAAAAAGAAAATTTTGATACATGCTACATGGATGAATCTTGAAGACATTATACTAAATGAAATAAGATAGACACAAAGGGACAAATATTGTATACTTCCACTTAATGAGAAACCTAAAGTAGTCATATTCATACAGACAGAAAGCAGAATAGTGGTTGCCACGGACTGAGTGTAGGGGGAAATGGGACTTACTATTTAATGAGTACAGAGTTCCAGTACTGGATGATGACAGAGTTCTTAAGGATAGTGGTGATGGTTGCATGACAATGCAAAATGAATGTAATGCCACTAAACTATATACTTCAATATAGTTACCATGATAAATTTCATGTTACATATATTTTACCAAAATAGGTTGGCTAATTTAAAAGTCAGAATAAGATATAAATTAGAAG